GGCGCGGCGGAGCGGGCAGCAGCGCGGTGCGAGTAGCTCGAGGTGGCGCCGCGGCGTGGGCCCGCGAACGAATGACGGATCGCGCAGCAGCGGCGCGCCGCACCCACTGCGCACGCTCCGCCGCCGCCTCCGGACGCCGCCGCTGCCACCGGCCGCCCAGTGCCTCCCTGACACACTAATTACACCCTACGTCAGCCTTGTTCCTTTTCACTCATGCCTATTCGAGTTTCTAAGGAAATGGAAATAGGGATTACAAAAATACAGAATACGGGCACATATACCCCCACCCACATTATGCTGAACTAGCAATTAGTATTATTTTAATGGTTTTGAAAATATTTTAGATATGCACATAATTATCACAAAATACTTATCTGATAGTAATAGCTAATATATATTTACCTACTATAATAATAAATATAGCATTTTATTTTTGTAAAATCATATTTTATGGTAATTCCTGTATAAGTAGGTGGGTACACAGGTCAAAACATTATGTTTAACATGTTCTATGTATGTCTATTTGGTATATATTGGCCGTGTGGTCCCGGCATAGAATAGGCTAGCCTTTCCTTTCCCGTGGGTATCGTAAGATGCGACTAAGGGAACTTAATAGTCGAGAAATGAGCAGCAGCGTCCCTCTTAAAACATCACCAAAGACTAACTGCAGTTGCCAATCCGCCTGCCAAGCTTCGCAACTACTGGAAAAACTCTCCAAGGGGGAGACTTGTGTTCAGCAGTGGACAGTTAAAGGCTGATATGATGATGATGATGTACGCTATGTGTCTACTTATTCAGATGTTTTGTAAAAATTTCTTTATCGATATCGATCAATGTTTGGTCAGGCTGAAATTTCCGTTTTAGCTCTTCCGATTTAATACAGCACCTGTCACCGAATCATTGGGGGAACTAACTAATGTGTTCCATCATATCGACCTTCATCCGGTAGGAAATAGAGGATAATTTTTATGATCAGCACCATAGGCACCATTCTATTATCCTTCACTCATAACCTATCGTAAAAGAGTATTACGCATAGACCGGCATTTCATTCCATTTTTATCCACTAAATAAAGCCTAGGTAAAAGGTGCTAAGGGGACGCAAACCAGTTTGTGCTATCGGTATACACTGGCATACCAGTCAGATAATAGATGAGGATGAAACTAATTCAGTTTTTTTTTTTTTTAATACAACTTAGAATGGCAAACAAGCTGACGGCCCATCTGATAGAAAGTGGTAACCGTCGCCTATAGGCATGAGCAGTACCATGGACATAACAGACTATACTTTTTCGCTCATGATACCCCTCATGCGTGGCCATTCCTGAGGACTCAGGTGTTATTCCTCCATACCCAGTAAATTCACGCCATATCCCACCTTACAAACTGAAACACAGCCATGCAAACACAACTGCTTTATGGTTGAAACACGAATGGGACAGAGGTACTCAAACAATCGACTTTTGTACAAAGTCTCCCTCTGGCTCTCTCTCTCTCTCTCAGTTGGCTTATTGTGACGAAATCAACAAGAAATAAACCAAAAAGTTTTCTTAGGAACCGCGTGGAAGTCGACCTGATAGGGTGTATTGTTAGCAATGAGGTTTTTAGACCACAGTAATAACAATTCCTTTCCCACCTAGTGGGTTATTAATAATAGGCTTTATTGCTAGCAATATATTGTCAGGTCGTCCTTTCCTCGGTTCCTCCTAGAAATCATCACGGTTTATTCCTAGTCTTTGCCGACTGACTTGATTTCATTCTCACTTATCATCCATCACTTGAACCCCGCTAGGTTACTATTCATTTTACATAAAGGAGCCCTTTAGAATGTAGTAAAAGTATGTACTCGTATTTGTTATCGATATGGATGATTATTTTATAGAAAAATTTTACTTCTCTGTTAATTCTATATTAAATTCGTAGGAAACGAAAACGGCATTTATGTAGAGAAAATTTTTAAATCCTACTAATAGATATTATAATCAAAAGTCTGTAAAATTGTTTATATGTCTGTTACACATAACTGAGTACGTGGTAACTAATAAGTGATAACGAAATAAAAATATTTCGATACACGGATTATTTTCAATACATTCGAACAAATTATTATTAAAAATGTGTTGTATTATGGAATTAAAATGTTTGTTATGCAACAAAATATAATCATATAATAGGGAATCATGGGTGTAACAGTTATGTCCATGGTACTGCTCATGTCTATAGGCGACGGTTACCACTTTCCATCAGGTGGGCCGTCAGCTTGTTTGCCATTCTCAGTTACATAAAAAAAATTCTTGTGAAAGAATTTGACAACTTTCGAAACAATTTAATTATGAAAAACATACTTAGATGCAATATTTTTCATCTATCTTCAATTATGAGACGTCATTTTCGTAAACTTAAAATTTCATTTTCTTGAAAAGATCTTTATTCTAAGGACCAACTTGAACTAAATTTTTAATAGATTCAACTAAGAAATATTCAGTTTATGATAATCCATAAAATAGTAATTTCGCCAAATTATGAAATTAAAATAAAAGAAGTGGCGCTAAAGAATGGCACTAGAGGTAGATATATGTAATTATACAATGATTAACGTCTTAGTCCGATATCAAAACAATATTATACCAATAATAATATAATAGGTACCAATAGCGCAGGTGGAATTACCATTCTATTTTCACCCATTAAAAAAAATAACTTGTAAGACAAAAAAGACGAAAATAATTCTGTCTCTGTACCATCAATAATAATAAACATACACAACAAAAAGTTAAATTTGCAATAAATAGGTGTTCAAAACATATTTAGACATCTTACTACAAAAGCGTGTCTAACATCTGTTTATGTTTAAATAAAAGAAAGTCTATGTTATTCATCAATTAAGGATATTACCTGCGATTAATAAAAGATATTTATAATAATAAATTTAATCATAATAATCTATGAATTTTGTCACAAAATTATTATCAAACATTATTATACTAATAAAACAGTATTAAATTATTTAAAATTTTGTTAAATACAAATAGTATTATTATATTAATACTACAAGTATTATATTAGATAACAGTGTTTTAACGATTTAACACCTATAAGGCTTCTGTAAAAAGTATTTGTAAATGCAATAAGTACTCTTTTCGCTAATTAATTTAGTATATTAATAGTAAAGAAGTAAAGTATGCCGAAAAGAAAACGATTTCAATTATCAAACTTTTTTTATTGGATATAGGCTTTAATATTCCATGTAAAAATAAAGAGTTATGATAAGCGAAATTGCCATGATGTTTGATATTATATAAACTCAAAATCTTTAATATACTTTAATGAGTCTAAAAGTGAATAACGCGCCTACAATTATACTGCCTCTGCAGGGCAATTTTGGAACTAAACTTACTGTTATTAATAATTTATATTTTGTATTGTTTGTCAATTAACAATCTATCCCAAAGAGGGTTGACGTCAGGCAGGTGGCCGGTCATAAAACTAAAAACCAAATCTTTTTATAATATGGATAAAACCATATTACGCCAACCCCAAATGATTGGGATAAGTGTAGGAAAATGATGATGTCAATTAGATAGCAATCGTAATTTTTAATGTTATTTAGCCTGAAAAACCTAAGAATAAGGGATTCCATAGAAGGAATGATAAAATAAAAATTGTAAATCATAATTGATTGCCTACTTTCTTCTTATGCAAATATAATTAGCAAAAAGAAGATAAAAGATACACGATCAGCTGTGTTAAATATATATTTTGGTAATGTAAAATTTGTCGTTAACAAATAATTGACTTAATAAACATTTTCTATACACTAGCCTGCTATGAATTGAGAAAAATAGCAACTGATGGTGTATTTTTCGTCTTCGTCCATGTAATTCCTTGTTCTTAGTGAAAAACTTTTAACGAATTTGCACAAAGTACAAATTACGAGTTTCTAATACAGAAATCGACACTGAGACGCTGTTTTCTAAACTCTCTAAAATTTCAATTTTAATTTGATAACAAAGCATAATTTTCGTTGTATAAGCCAATATGAGCTAGTTTTCTAATACATTGAAGTAATTTTACTGCTTTTATTTGTTTCACGAAAACATAAAATTAAAGTCTAGATTAAGGTTTAAATTAAGGGTTTAGAGAAAATGCGCCTCAGAATCGACCCTATATCTCAATTTTTTTTGACAATTAACAAATACATAGATAAGCCGCCGATCCTTAGGCGTCAGTCTTGTGTAACTTCCATACTAGCTTTTAATGTATAAACTTGGTCAGAAAACATCACGCCAACGTTTAGTTAAATGATGAAATCATAATACTGACGACTTAACTGATACCAATATTGTCAAATGCGATTTAACTGCCTGCAGTCTAAATTACTCCTGGATCAGTTTTAGCTATTTATTTCATATTTATTTTTATTTTGATGCGGGAATTACGATTATATATAATTAATATTAATTCTGTTATAAGGTCTACTTTAGAAATTGATTAGATATTTCGGGAAGTGTTGAAAAATTGTGTTTATTATCTGTGAAGGGTTCATTGGATAAAACAATAAAAATATACGATACTGAATAAAGATATATAATATTGTTCCCTAGTACAAAAATAGATGTTTTAAAAAGTAGTGACGTTTCTCTAATAAAACAAAATACACATTGAAATAACAAGAAAAATGAATAAATTCTATTTTAAAAAATAACTTAAATAAAACCTCAACACTATCAATAATATTACGAAATTCAGATTTTAAATATATCTCTAATATTATATATATTAGTAAATATAATTAAGAATGTTATCCTTTATTTTTGCTAAAAAAATTTTCATTGAAACGTGCAATTTGAAAAAGTAGAATTTGTGTAGATTGGTAAGATATTTTTGACCAAATCGGTTTACGTAGCTTATATGAAGTGTTATCTCTTTTTCCTTGATTATATATCTAATTTAATCTTTATATATTGTAATTTCTATTTAGATATCTGTCCTTTTCCTTATATTCATTCAACTTTTCTGATCCTTATCCTAAATTCCTTCGTTCAAAACTCCTTCCCTAAAGTGCTGTTTCCCAAACTTTGTTTTTGGCGGATTCACTTTGTGCCGTGCCATAAGAAAAGAAAAAAAAAAAAAAAAAATCTTTATCCATTTGTATGCGTATTAGGCGCCTTTTTTTGTTTAATCTATCATTTAATTAAGTATACTTACTTATTATCCATTCTTTTGTGCGAGTAGTGCATTACAAATTATTTTTTAAACCATTCTATTCAAACAATATTGAAATCATGGATTCAGAAGACGAAATTGAAGATAATCCTCAATGGAAAGGTGTACCCGGTACAATAATTCTTATCAATGCCCTCAATGGTTCGGACATAACTTCTTTGGCTCATATTGCCACATGTGGAGTAGTAAAACAATATCTACGTTCATCCAAACATAATCTTATTGGCGTTTGTTACTATGGCGTTAAGAATTCTAATGCAACTAATCTTGATGCACAAGATGTAAAAGAGATATTTCCTCTTTCTGTCCCTACTGTGAATGATTTTAAGAATCTTCAGATAGCGGATCCATCTAAATTGGAAAAATGTACTGAATTGAAAATGTCTGATGCCTTGTGGCTGTGTAATAAAATGTTCATCAACTGTAAAAAACAACTCTTGTCAAGAACAATTATTATTCTAACTAAACTCGACATTGCACCTATGAAATCTGACCAAAAACCTTGTTGTAGTAGAGCTGCTGATTTAGCCAGTTCTAATGTTCAAATAGAAATAATAAATATTTCTCAAGAACAGTATAAGGTAAATCCATTTTATGAAGATTTTTTTATTGAAGCTAATAATGGAAAGGATGTTAAACTGCCTCCACCAGTAAGTGACTGTAAAGGGATTGAAAACTTAATACAACAACAGTCACATCGTCACTTGGCTGTTTCACAACTGACACTCCACATAGGAGAAGGATTTGATATTGGGGTGGGTGTATATAGGTTGCTGACACAGAGTACTTATACAAAATCAGTCAATTTAGTTAGAGATAATAATACTGTTGTTACTACTGTAAACAAAACCATGAAGGTGGCAGTAGAACAAACACCAGGAAGCCCACATCAAATGGATATAGATGAAGAAGAAACCAAAACCTTATTGAAATCTGAAATTATTCATTACCAAGACTATGGTGGAGAAAAAATAAACTTTACAGATGAAGAAAAGAAAAATATGACTAATCCATTTGGTCCACCAATGATAAAACTTCTAGGATTCAAACCTGAAAGCTTATTATGTAAAGAAAAATGGTTTATAAAACCTGGTTATTTTTTATATCCAAATGAAGATATTATAGAAGGGTCTACAGTAGTTTTTAAAGCATTATATAAAGCTTGTGCAGAAATGTCTATGGTTGCATTATGTATGTTGTGCACAAGAGTTAATTCTAGACCCTATATTGTGGCATTGTCTCCATGTTCTAATCCTCTTGGTCTTAATGTGGAAATAGGATTTAATGTTATCCATATCCCATTTGTTGAAAATATTCGGAATCTTCCTATTCCAGAAAACTCCAATGATGAAATATTACCTGAACATAAATCTGCTATGCAAGATATATTGCATAATCTTAAATTTGATTATAAAGCAGATATGTTTGAAAATCCCAAACTGCAATCACAGTACAGAAATATTGAAGCAGCAGTTTTATCAGAAGAAAATGTTGAGCCATTTAAAGACACGACAAAACCTAGCCAAGAAAAATTTCAAACACTTCATGCCGATTTGTTTGAAGAACTGTTTGGTCCATTTGGTGCAGTTGCTCTAAAAAGATCTGCACCAACTGAAGTTAATGACATTGATGAGGACTTGTTGCAAAAAAGGATTAAAACAAGAAATGTTAATGCATATACAGTGCCACAACTAAAAAACATATTGAAGTATAAAAATATTCCTAATTTAAATAATATAAAAAATGTCAAGAAAAATGAGCTAGTTGAAGAGGTATATAAACATTGTACTGTATAATGAAAAATGGTAATTTGGAAATTATATTGTTTTTAATTAAGTATAATAAATGTAATATTGAATAATTTGTTTCACATAGTGATAAAGTACACAGAGTTATTTTTGGAGACTTATTTATAAACCCATCTAATTTGGAGTTGTGAAGACAATAAAATACTTTTTTCTAATTTTTTTTTTAATTAATACCCATTGTACTACAATATAATCAGATGAATAAAAAAACTGTATTCCAGAAAAAAATTGTATTCCTGAATACCAATCATTTGTATTTCGTATTGTGTCTGAATTGAATTCATAATAACTAAAAGGAGAGATAGTATTAATCTTATAAAAATACTTCACTATTTGGAAATTATTTTTATTATAATATTTTTAAATATACAATGACCCATCTGCAGGCCCCAAGTGATGTATTCCAATTAATAAAGCGTCAACAAGTGTCCATACTCCTAAACCTCCAAAGCTAAATAATTTTCCGATGCCCTCTTGCCAGTGGCCTAAATAAAATCTATCTGCACCAAAGCCTCCAAGTGTAAGTGCTAAAAGCAAGGCGGTTCCCCACCTAGTTCCTGCTGTCCAAGAACAACGAATTTTCTTCAAGAATCTTCGTCTTCCTAAGCAAATGATGTCATCAGATACTGTGCAATTTGTTCTAGAAAAAAAATTTGTCACTTATAGCAAATTCATTATCAACACATGGTTTCATTTTTTTAAGTCATTTTTATGTTATTTAGAAAAGCTGCTAATTACTGATTAATAATAAAAATATTTACTAACAAGTAGTAATTGAGAGGAGATGCCAGAGAGTTACAATTTGCTTTTTGTTCACAACGATGCTCCCATGTCTCAGTTTGATAGCAAAAACGACACATGGCTGTTTTATTAAATGTCTTGGTGCCCTGAAATACAATTTATTATATTTATTAAATAATCTTGTTTTTTTATGGAAATAAGAAGACATAACATAGACTAGCAGCTAAAATGAAAGAGTATATTATTTTCTGTGACAAATGTAAAATGACAAATTTAAATAAAAAAAAAGTTAAAATTATTTAAGAGCAAAGTATAGAAAATAAAATTATCTATATAAGTTGTTTTTTAATTATTATTTTAAATACATAAGACAAATACAACTGAGATAGCACCTAGCTTATCTAATAAGATTAATATTACACTATTTATATAATAAATAGACACTTACACTGCACAATACTTTTGGTTTTACTGTACAATTGTAGTTGCAAAATTCTCCATATCGACAGTCTATACTTCTATCGCAAGATATACAGGGATATAACAATGAAGAACATAATGAAATATTCTCTTTATCAGAATATGGGCAACTTTTCAGATATTCTTCTTCCATTTCGTTAAAACTGAGCCCTTTGTCGGCGGTGTCGTCTTTTACTTTCTTCTCTTTGCTTTGAATATCCATGTTATTATTTGCTGCAAGATTATAAATCTATTGTATAAATATAAACGAAACGAGAGTATTGAAGCATGAAATTGGCGCTTACCCATGTCAGTAATATGTATTGTATTAAAAATAATCAAAATAACTAAAACTAAACAATCTTTAATAGATATTCTTAAAGGTAATAATCTCGGCATTGTGGATTCTATATCATTTTGTAGTATTTTAGTCACATTATAGTAATACTATTTTTCGATATTATATTCTAAAGAATTTCTAGAGCAATACTGGGATATAGTGGGTAAATAGTTTTTGAAAATATTGTTATAATTATAATGAAAAAAGTTGATAACCACAGATTAATCAGAGATCTATGTCACAGATTAAAGAAACTATATGTACGCAGATTATTTATTTTCACCCAAATGTAATAATAATAATAATAAATCATTTACTCAGCTACAATACAACAATATTAATTACAATTTTTTTTACATTAAAATAATAATTATTTAGTAGCAGCTGAAATAGTCCCCACTCAGTATAAGCTGCAACGTGGTGCTGCAGCGCTGATTTTCAAATATGTCAAATATTTTGTTCCATATTCATACGATTCCATTCTATTTTTCACAGCCATATAATAATAAAGCAATTGGCAAATATGTAAAATATAGAAACTACAGAATAATAATATTTGTCTTTATTTTTCAATAAGGTATTGTAAAAAAAGTAAATAATCTTTAGACAAATCATACTAAATAAAGTTTAATTTAAAAATAAATAATTATATATAAAGTATAATTATAAACATTATAATAAAAATCATTTAATGATTATATTATCATTAAATGCAATACCATCCATGAGACTATATGATCATGACACCATCTAGCTTTTTTAACGAAAATGTTTACTTTTCACACTATAATAATAAGTACCCTCACACTTTTCATACTTTTCACATTATAATAGTAAGTTTTGTCATATTAAGGAAAATTTGGCAAAAATTTCCATTCATTTTATGCCAATCAATTACCACCACTTTCCTTCTCTATACACGACCTTTTACTGTAAAGTGATGGATAGGATCTGCATGTAACATATTTTATCCTCATAATTTTATAAGAGGAGACATTGATTGGTAACCCCGCCTGCGCTATCGGTATATACTGGTAGGGCACCAGTGAGAGGTTATAAGTGAAGACGAAAGTAGTCCAGTGCCTCTAGACAAATGGCAAGCGAATTCGTCGATGGAATCGATGTCGCTAGCGAGTCCGTGAGATAAAATGAGATAGCAACACCGGGTGATTCATTCCAACTTACGGACTCACTTGTCTAGAGGCCCAGTAAGCTCATCATGACAGAAACAAAAACCGTGTCTAGAAAAAAAATTTGGTAGGGTTATACAGTCCTATAAAAAAATGTTATAGGGTCGTGTAATCCTACCAAATTCAGATACAACCTGCTCGCATACTTTTAACATTAACTGTCTCGAATATATAATGTAAAATTTATCATTGACAAACAATTGACATAGCAAACATTTTATATACACTAACCTGCTATGAATTGAGAAAAATAGCAACTGATGGTTGATGATATATTTTTCGTCCTCTTTTTACTAATTAATTATACACGCATTGGAATGAGTAGCAGCAGCTATAAAAAGTAGACGGGACGTTAGGAGTATGAGTTGTAGATATACAACCTAATTATTTATCTATCGATGACGATGTCGTTGTTAAGCATCTTGTTGATTGTAACATTTTATTCTGCTTATTATATGTATTTAATATTTAATAAAGCTTTCTGTTCTCCACTTTAATAGAAAGTGTCATCGTATTGGACGCACTATCACAGTCGCTATTCGTCCGTGCGCAGGAGGTCCCTAGGCGTGGGACGGCCGTCCGGTGGAAGCGCATGCAACGGCGCTAAGCCCCTTAAGTGGAGATGCGGTCCGCCGTCGGCATGGGCGAACATTTTGCTCGCTATGCCGACGACGAACTCCTCAACCGACGGGATCCTTAAGCCGCGGTCGATAACGTCATTGCGGACGTATCTGCCTGCTCCGAAGCACAGACGAAGAGCGATGTTCTGCTGGACCTGCAACCGGTGGCTTAGCGTCGGAGAGCACAGTGCATACTAATCGGGGGCGATGCATTCCATCTATTCTATTCTGAAATCTTTGTTCTTATGCAAATATAATTAGTAAAAAGCAACTGATGGTGTATCATTCGTCCTATTTTTACTAATTATATTTGCATAAAAAGAAAGGAGGCAATCATATGATTTACAGTTTTTATTTTATCATTTCTTCTAAGTAATTTCTTGTTCTTAGCCTATAAATTATTGATACCCATTAATTCGTCTCTTTTCATTAGTAGCGTAAGTAGATAAAACATTATACCGGAAGAAGGTAAAAACCCTTAAAATAAAAAAAAATATATTTTCCACATTCATTCTAAGTACGTAGAAATTAGCCCAATTATTCCATATTATTTTCCCAAAAAAAAGCGTAATTCATTCATTTGTCGAACACTTATTTAAGGGAACGATTAATTGATATCGATGTGATTTAAAAGAATTACTATTATAGATAAGCAAAAAGTACTAAGTAACCAAATATTAAGACTGAAAGTTAATTCGAATGTGATTAGGCTTTAATCTGTAAATAATTGTGTTACCCAAAAAACAACTAATTGTGACAAAAGCAGGTATTTTGATTTAAAAACACAAACTACACAACCGATTTTGATAAAATTTCTTTAGGACCAATCTGTAAGCATATCCTTTCAGATAAAAAAGGAATTTTCTAAATCGATTTACATTTGCCTGAATTATAAGGTAACAAACAAAAAAAAAAAAAAAAAAAAAAAAACCGAACTGAAAATCTCCTTTTTGAAGTCGGTTGAAAATGAGCTGCTTTGTGCATTTATAAAAGATTTTAAGTTTTTGTTTGTATTTTTCAAATTAAACTCTTTCTACTATTATTTTTTATTTTTCTGAACATAGGTTCTATTATTCAAATATGAATATGTCATAAATACATGCGTCTCATTAAATGAGATTTGTACGTCTCTGAGTTGTATGGTTATCATTTACGATGTTTGAAATATGATTATCTTTCCAGGGTTAATATATTTTTTTTTTATACAACTTAAAATGGCAAACAAGCTGACGGTCCACCTGATGGAAAGTGGTAACCGTCACCTATAGACATGAGCAGTACCATGGACATAACAGAGTATACTGTTTCGCCCATGATACCCCCCATGCGTTGCCATTCCTGAGGACTCAGATGTTATTCCTCTGTACCCAGTAAATTCACGCCATATCCCACCCTTCAAACCGAAACAGTTATATAGCAATCGACTTTTGTACAAAGTCTCCCTCCCTCTCTATCATAATTTTCGTAACTTTATCCCAATTACTTATTTAGGATGGGCCTAATATATTTTCCTCTTCCATTCTTCTCTGCTCGCAGTCATTTCCGTAATCACTTCCATTCTGGCCATATCATCTTTCACATAGTCCATCCATGTATTTTTATTTCACATTCATACTTAATACTTATCTTAAAACATGTACGTATTTCTAAATCTATGAGCACTATTTTTTATTTGACATTAGGTATTTCGTATTAGTAAAATGGTACAAGATGCGCGTCTTCTATATATTATAGCAAGTTCCAATAATAAAAGTGCCCTATGGCCGCTTATTTTAGTCTATTGTTATGTAGAAGTCCGTTAAATAGCTTATATGGTTAGCTATAAAAACATTTAACTTCTTTTTTGGCAGTTAGGTAAAAATGAAACTTAACATAGAATTTACACACAGTAATTTTTATTATATCATATTTTATTTATAGTGAATTGTCTTTTATAAATCATAATAATTATAGATAAGTTTATAGCATGACCTCATGGAACATTAATTAACAGATAAAAAATTAACAATTATTATATTAACAGAAACAAAAATTATAAAATATATCTAACAATAAATAAACATGTCATCAGGTACTCATATACACCTATCCCCCGGTTTACACGGTAGATACGTTCCTGAGAAAAACGTGTAAATCGAAAATTAAAAATTTTCAAGTCAAAACCGTGTAAATCGAAAAGCTTGCAGAAAATGCATAATTTTGCTATTTAACAGTTGTGATTTTTTTCAATATTTTTAGGTGTACACAGAAATAAAAATAAAATGCATTGACAGGTTAAAATATGTAATATATTACGGAAACACTGTTTTTTTTATTTAATTACAATACATTAAACTGAAAAATTAAATCTTTCTGACACTGAAACTTTCACTCAAATACAATTTTCCGTAGATAAAACTTTAATTTTATGCGAAGAAATACAGACACAGTGTGCATGTGCAGCAAGTCAGCACATAAGCTCGGGATTCCCCGTGAGATGTGTACACAGTGCACGTGTTCAAACACAGTAGCATTTAGTAGAGTGCAATAAAAACAAAAAAAAAAACTTATTTGGAAAACCGTGTAAAAGCGAAAACGTGTAAAACAAGTACCGTGTAAATCGGGGGATAGGTGTATAAAGTTATTTTTTAGCTCATAAACAAATTAGACAAACTCTGGGAATTAAAATTTGTATTTGTACCTTCATTATTATTGAATGCTGGTTTTCTACTATTGTCGTCATTTTCTTTAGACATTTCAGTAATAGTGGAAAGGTCAGGCACTGCACACGTTATCGGGAATATTTGGTTAAGGTTAGCACCAACACTAGGTGCCTGAAGGTATGAATTTGTAACTTCATCTTCACTGAACAGGTACCATTTATTAGTGGGAACGTTAGGAAGAGACGACTCTAAAGGAAGACAAGGTAAATCGTCGGATAAATCTTCTGTTATGAGGCTATTTGGGGACAGTTCGCTACCAACAGGACTTTGGTATACTGTATCACTATTCGATGCGGATTTTAGTGAGGTAGCTGTAATAAAAATAATAATATTATATTCGTGCGAGGTATATACGATCGTCAATCGATAAAACAGGCATCTTCTTGTTGGTATTTTAGTATTAAGTTTTGCCCGAGGGTGTGGTTAGACGTGGCACGGTCTGGCCATGCCTTCGAGCGCTGAGATATATGTAGGGCGTCAAAGGTGTCCACGCACCAATAAAGAGTCACTTGGAGACGTTGGTACTTTTGACTAAACAGCGGAACTGTGCTAACAAGAGATGCTGTCCCTGTGTGTATATACGATACCCTCAGCATCACTGCAACTATTTTTTTCCTCATCATTGTCAACCAAAATTTTCCTATATGGCATCAGATAGGCTAAAGACCGTCATTGAGTATATGACACAGAATGATAATATGAATCTATATCTATGTAAACAGATATAAAAGTATGTTTATGTACTTAGATCTTCAAAAAGATCAAAATGATCTTCGCAAAGGAAAACAGTTAAATCATTCACTATGTAGCATTAAGATTTCTTTGCATATTAAAGGCATTTTTAGCATAAATAGTTTTCCGGTGTTCTCATAGTAGTATTAGTGCACAATGACACAACACACCATTTGTAGTACGTACTTTTTCTGTTTTGGGAAACAGTAAAAATTAACAAAAATAAATACTGACAAAACTCATGTATGACACTCAATGATTGTTTACTTCCATGTGACGTTACTGACGTCACATTATTCAAAATTGTGTTTCAACGGCCTATTTAAATTGTATTTGTTTTATTTAAAAATTTTTGAAGAAATACTTATGTGATTGAAAAATAACTTCTTGAGAGCTCTATAAGCAACACTAAATAGTCTGAGATGGTTTTTAAAAATCAATCACCTTAATGCCAGCACATAAACTATAATGCAAGCATAAATCAAAATACCGTATCCATCCATGCCAATATTATAAATGTGAAAGTGAGTTTGTTTATTACCACATATCACCTAAATGGTTTACAGAGTCACTATAAAGTTCCGTACGTACTACATGGAACGGGATTAGGCTATTTTTTTATCCTGGTTAGTAAAAATATCGCGGTCACGCGAACGAAGTCATATGTAAAAGCCAGTTTAAAATTTACTTACCACATGTTACATTGGTCCCATCTTGAGCATTATTGCAAAATAATTCACTTGACAACGATCTGTTGTCTCTGGTAACTAATAAACGTTTGTCAAATGAATCGTCAGAATTTGAATTCAATGTTATAATTGACTCTTTGGCCTCTATCAATTCAACACTGTCTATGCATTCATTTGTTTGCAGACAGGTATCCGAATGATTGTGAATAAGATCAATGCTATCATTTAAGCTTTGTATAAATAAATGTGATGCGTCATTTATACCACTATCAGTTTGTACAGATGCTCTGCTAGAGTCTTTCGGTTTACTCCCTAAATCCTTATCTTTTTTTGGGTTCTTAATCTTAGGTCTCAATATTTTAACTTTGAGAACATCCTTTTTTATTCTTTTTCTTATTTTATTATCACTAAGCGATTCTTTACGTACGTTAGAATCATTTATGTTCGCGTTATTTTCGGTATGTTCACTAGTCACGATCTGAATAGGCGGACAAGATGTTCTACCGTTATAAGAACAGAATTCCATACGTTCTTCCTCAACGACAGGGTCTATTTTGGGTAGCTTAGATTTCTGCGTATTTTTGCGTTTACACGGTGTCGAGCAACGTTTCTTAGTTTTTGCCTTCTTTTTCAAATCGATTTCTGGTGTAGCCGCATTATTTTTATTCGAAACGTCTCTAGTTGTTTGTGGCTCTTGTATCTTTTTAGCACTCTCCAATAGTAAATCTCTTAGTTTTTGGTCCAACGAATCAGATATAGATGGAGCGTCTTTAATATTTACATAATCTATTTGATCCAATAATGACTCTGAAATAGTTGGTGCATTTGCTAGGAACCGATTATGTTCTGGTGGCGGGTTCTTTTGAATGTTACACGTTTGCCCCATTAATGGCATACTGACATCTAGTTCAGAAATCAAGTACTTATTGTAATCTGCACATACATTAGCCTTTTCATTAGCAGCTTGCATTTCATTAATACTAGGTTGGTTTTGCATGCTTTTTAATAGCTCTCTGCTTACAGACAACTGTTCTACAATTGATAGTTCAGGTGATAAGGGCAAAGATATACTACTCGAGTTTACGGCTTCTGAATTGCCGCGAACAGAGTCGTTGGAATCAATATCTGCCTGTATTTTGAGACGTTTTCCATCAATTTCATTTTCAACACGTTCCATAGGTTCACTAGTGTTGTTCTTAGTCAATTCTTTCGTCACAGTGTGGTCTTCTTCTATTTTTTCCAAAACTCTAAAATTACATCGTTGTTGCGGCATCAACAATTGATAAGACTCCGATTTGTATATTTCAGGATTCAAGGAGGTGTTACGTTTGCGTATTATAAAATTTGATTGATTACTAGATTCACTGGAATTATCATCAGCAAAATAAGGATAAGATTTCCTTCGAGTATATCGTACTCTAATTTTGTTTTTGCGTAATACATTACACAGACTCGATTTCCTTTTACGTCTTATGATTATACGTTCTGAGGATGGGCTTACATCGGAATCTTGATATCCTTGGGTGCTATCTATAGACTTCAGTGATTGATTAGGCGAAGCAAATAATTTATGGATGTCCGTTAAGCTGCGAGGAAAAAAGCTACAGTCAATTTTCTAGCAATCATGGAGAACAAGCTACAGTGCAGGGATTTGTGCAAGAGCACGTTAGTGCTACAAGCAATGGAAGCAGGTTTACAATATAATTATATATTTACACTCGCCGAAAATTATGCGCGTAATATCCTTAAAAAAATTGTATTACAAAAATTCTATATACATAATGTTTATACGTTTATACTATACATACAGGGTTATTTTGAAAAGGTATACCAACTCAAATGTCAGTGATAGTATTAATGGGGTCGATAGTAATTTTTTCCAGTCAAAATTATATCATTACATGATATATAATATATATAATGTAATGATATATTTAATTATCACGTGTTATTCAATTCACGTACGATTTATCACGATTTGGATGAAAGGTTCAAAACCTATTTTCATTTTCGATTATGCGCCTTGGATAAAATTGTTCAGTTACATGACTACTATCATTGACATTTAGTGTGATATATATTTTTTCAGATTAACTCTGTATAAGATTAAAATGAAATATATAAACTTAAAAGAAATAAGTACACAATAGAATTTGTATTTTTTTTATTGGTAAAACTGCTTATGTTACACCTGCTCCCATTTCAACAAAATACTTAGTACATATTTTTTTTATTTTTTATTTATGTTTGTAGTTATTTTTAACAACAGGTTATTTAAAAATTTATATACATAATGTAAATAAAAATGTCTCGTCAAACATATTTCTTTTTCATTTTGAAATTGCATAATTTAGCTGTTATACATAGTTACGATATAGTATGTTAATGATTACACTTATATAATTCAAAGTGAAATCACTCTAAGAAGCGTTTTCCTTCTTGAGGATCTATCATCGAGGTATATTTAAATATATATAAAGTCGTAGTGAGTGGCAAGAGCTCCACCGACAAGAGCGCAGCTCTTAAATGGATATATATGTTCTTGTTTTAAATAAATTAAAATAAAACAAGAACATATTTCTGATATAAAATAAATGTCAGAATATATAAAAATATTAGAACATTTAAATTAGCTTTTAAAAATAAAAAAAAAAAAGCTAATAAGTTTAGCATTCAGAGTGGGTGAACGGCGAATAATAAAAATTTTTGCAATGCTGAACTTAGTCGATAACCCATCTAGGATTTGCATATATAGACGCTTTGCTATACATAATGTATACTTATCAGTCACTTGACAGATTAATCTCTTTCGGTTTCTAGATTTGGGGAAAAAAGTAAACTTTTGTATGTGTATATATACACATAATAATAAGTTGGAAAACACTGCTCATTATATACTACTTGTTATAGATCTTAACGAACGCTTTCGTTAGCGTTCACATGAGGAAGAACAAGACGCCGGATGTCGCCGTCTTGTTCTATCTTATGCACGTGACAGCGATAACATAATTATTGATAACACATCGATAGATACGTCGAAGGGGGATAGCATCTTTCTAGAAAAATGTAAGTTATCTTTACGTAAATCTCCTAACCTTTTTAAAAAGCTACTTGTATGAAGATCAACTTTCTAAACCATTTGTTAATGAAAGTATAAATAATAAGTATAATATAGTTTAAGTCAATTGTTACTAACAAAAATGGATCTTAGTAATCCGTAAATAAAGAAATATTATTATTATTATTATAAAAAATAGGGGTCACGTTATGTTTACTTCTTTACACAATAAAAATTCTCTCAATTTTGCTAATTTAAAAATACAACTTAAATTACAAAAAAAGAAAGATTACCTTTGGAGCTCTGGTTTCTTAATATAAATTTTATTTTAGATAATTCGTCTTTACATATATTTTAAATTAAATAAAAAGAGAACAGCCAAACATGATAATTAGTAACAGACAATTTATATACATAAGAAAGTTCATAAAAAACTTAAAAAAAATAATAATTAGATGTCAATTTAAAAAAAAAAAATAACATCTAAGCTCCACTACAATAGTAGATGATTACCTATTGAATAGAATTGTTAAACCTGATTTGTGGTCACGTTTAACATTACTGTTCTATTGATATATGATATTTAGTAATAGATATATGTTAATATTTAAATTCACGATTGGGACTTAACGCGACGTACATGTAAATAGTATCTACATACTTGGTTTTTATTGCCGACGCAAGACAATTTGTCTATGGATCGCGTTAGTTCCCGATCGTGAATATAAATATGTGTAAATAACGCGATAATTTTAAATTAATTACTTACGTTAACTTATAAAATATATGATAAAAGTCATAAGGAGTATATATTTTTTAGAATATGGACAATTTACTCTATTTAAAACTAGATTACAGATTTGGTCATTATTTTAATGATTGCATAGATTAATAGCATCTAGATAGTGTCTCGGTATAACTGCTAAATCAATCGGTAAAAAAATATGTATGAATCAATTTACTCGAAAGGAGAATATAGCAATATTTTAGTATAAAATTGAAATACGTATTCCTTGTAAAAAAAAAACAGAATGTGGCCGCCATTTTCATTAATGCATATATATTATCTATTTACACATATAAGTATTATACAAGAAATAACATAATGTAAAATAAATTATGCATCAGGCAACACTTGGCCGAATATTATTTAGGACTCAATGACTCCCCATCTAGATGTATATGACCTAATTGATTACATAATAGTATAAAAATAATGTATATTGAATTATATATGTAGATATCATCCATGTTTACCTTCTGCTTGGTTTCTGTTTTTTGTTGATATACACGGCAGATTTCCTCTGAGTTTGCTTGTTTGGTGGAAACATGTACCGTACTTCATCATCATCAGGGACATCATTATCAGTCTTCACAAGATTGGATCTTGAATTTCTATTTGTGATATTAGTATCAGTATTGGCAGGAATGTCGGTGGATCCTTCTGAAATAAAACATATATTATAATCATATGAAGGGATAAAAGATTGGCTTAAACAAAAGGAACAACATACTAACTATTATCCATTGCTACTAGAATTACATTAAATATTAAGTTTATGCATATATAATAAAAAGAACCTACATTAAAGATTTAAAATTTTCTACCCTACCAGTTTATACAAAAAAAAACAGATTGTCTATAACCAAGTCTTTTTATATTACAGAATAATATTTTTCATAGATTCATAGAAAATAGGTTAAAATTAATCCTGCTAATGTTGTAAATCTGAAAGATTATTGTTGCTCAATCAAACAGATAATGGATTTTAACGAAATTTGATAGATAGACTTTAAACTAGATTAATAATAATAATAAAAAATAATGATTAGATACTTTTTTTATTTAAATTTTTGCAAGAATATAACGCGGGTGGCATAACGGTATTCATTATAGAGAAACATTCGGGTTGATTTCATTTTCATATAACAGTGAAATTCTTCTTCTAAAAACCAATATGAACTAAATTTCTAATAGATTCAATTCAAAAGTATATTATAGTATTATACATTTAGTGTATGATGGTCCATAAAACTATAATTTCGCGAAATTATAAAATTTAAGAGACAAGTTTAGAAAAATAGCTAGTCAGATTTGAGCCCATTGTATTATTATATGTACATGACGCTCGAGATGGAGGCTGTTCCATTCCTGTGATACAGGTCTTTGATCTTATTTAGGATCCTGTCTCTCACAAGTTATATATTAATAGATATGTATTAGTTATTAGTTATCTTTTTCATATGGCTACTTCTTTTCTGTAAAATTTGTAGAGATCAATAAATCTTATCTATTACATTGCTACCATAATATAGACTAGACTCTTGTTTCGTCTAAAAAATTCAACTAACCTATAATTTTCTTGGGCGTATTTACTTTCCGTTTTGGCCGTGGCGTCGAGATATTCTCAACAGTTGCTACTGAGTTTACATTGTTATTTTCTATTTCGTTGTTGGATTTCTTAGTTCTCTTTGGACGTGGCGAAGAGTTTCTGGTTGACGGTTTTTCATTTGAAATCGATGATTTTGGCGGCCTGCCAGGCCTCTTCCTGAAAATGGGAAATAGATATTTTATTATTTCAAATATAAAATGTCATTGAAGTAATCTATATGATTGACTAACAAAGCATCCTATTTAAGAGTTTAAGCATACATTTTAGTAATTGGTAAGTTTCATTTCTTTCTTTTTAGCGAAATATTTAGTTGAAATAAATTAATAAATTGAGACATTATATTTTTGTAGAAACTTACAGTACTTTTTACAAGGAAAATAAGCATCATTACCTATTAGTAACATTGTTTTCAGTATTAAATTCTTCTAATTGCTCCTTGTCTCTTTCTTCTATTTCTTTGAAAATCTCACTCTCTAATTTATTCACTTTGTCACGGACATCTGTAATGAAATAAATTATTTTCAATTACAATAACCATATTTCTATTACAGAAATATTGCTACTTTACTATGCCTATCATCCTCAAGACACACAGTGACAATAGATACAATGATAATAAGTGCAGATGTGACAAACAGGATACAAGTCACCATTGCATGGTCGAACACGTCACCAACAGTGACTATGTGGCCGATCCCGCAAATATTGCTACTTTACTGTGCTTAGTGTATTCTGTGTTAAGCAGAATACACTAAGCATAGTATAGTTAAGCTATTAACAGTATTAACAATACTGTTAATAGCTTAACTACTTATAACAGGAGCATTGGCAATAAATATTAATAAATAATAGGTTCAGTTGTAATAGAATACAAATTGCCGTTGCACGGTTCTACCATGTATCGATAGTGGCCCCAAGGCCATTCTGCAAATATTGCTATTATACTGCGCTTACTATTATCAATAGTTGCAGTGACAACAGATTTCCAAATAGTCTACGTTAACATAGCATGCCCCTCCAACTTTTTACTTCAATGTGTTTTATTTTTATACCACTGAGATGACAAACAAGCAAACGGCCCACCTGATTGTAAGCGGTTACCGTAGCATATGAACGCCTGCAATACCAGGGGTATTACGCGCGAGTTGCCGCCCCTGAAGAAACTTCTTTACCCCCCTTTCGAAGAACCACATGCTGTAGTCTCTCGGAAAAAACCTCGACAAGGAGCTCATTCCATGAGTGTTCGTGGGAGAAAACATCTCTGAAACTGCATTATACGCAACCATCTACGATCTAGGGTATGAGGGTGAACTCCTTGTCGATGACGAGTTGTACGATGGTCGAAAGTGGCCGTGGTCATCATATTGAACAATTTCTCTAAGCACAATCCGTTGCACAATATGTGTGACCATTTACAGACGCGGTGATCTCTTTGTATTGTTTCGCCATTATCAAAGGCTAAGTTATGTGAGTATTCTGTAAGTATTGCTATTTTCTTACCTTCATCAACTGGTGCAGCTGTAACAGCCGCAGTGGCAATAGGCGCAGTGGTATCAGGTGTAATAATAATTGGTATAGTTGCAACATGATTCACGTCACCATTACATCGCCCAATCACGTGACCATTAGAGGCTACGGGAATATCTTTGACAGCATCCTTTTCTTCTTTGTTAAAAATTTGCACCACTTCAGCAAGAACTGGGTGAATGTTTGACCAGTGGCCTTCTAATTGTAACTCCTGAAAATTAATGTCACTAAGTCATAGATCAAATTTGACAAACTCCGTGGCACATTGCTTTGAGTAAAGTCCCAAGTTTGATTTCTGGTCGAGCCAATTTCTGAAACAAACTTTTCTGAATACCCTCGGATCAGAGTCTTCTGAATGTGTCCCCAAATGTTTGTCTGTACTGGTTTCTTATAACACAGGGTACTTTAGTTTAATGACCAGGCTATTGATGTGATTGTGCGAAATATAATAAATTTATTATGTCAATTTACCTATTCTATGTATTCACGTTTGAACTTTATGCAATAGGTGAGAGAACCAAGTACCAGTATCTTTTCCTGGTCAACTGAATAGTATTTATTAACATGTTGTACATTGAAAACATGTATTTTAGTAAAGAAAATTAAATATTCAACTGAAAACTTCAATGTTCAATGATTATCTTACCTCATTATTTTTTGTAAATTTAATTTTTACTGTCTTCTCTTCTGCGTTCTTTTCTTTTTTCTCTACTTTTACAGGAAGTTGTTCCTTATCTGTTAATAATAATGTTTTTATAAATTATTAAAAGTAATACATCATATATAATACAGATACCGATAAATAAGCTATACATACTTTCATTGGCTTTCCTTGGCGATGGACAATTGTGTGAACTTGATAATGGTCTGAAAAAATAAAAACAAATATATAGTGTAAAGAAAATTAGAATTTATTATACCGTTGCGAGGATTTGGTGTGGATCGTCAAAATGGCCTTATTAGCAATAAAATATATAAAACTACCTCCATTTGGTGAGAATCGCAACCAATTTATACTTAGCTAATTAAATTATTGACTTGAATACTCTTCGTATTATTTCGTTGTCACAATCGAAACGCATTCTAAATATAGATTGTATTCTAATAATAATAATAATCTATATACTATCTATATTTTTAAGGTAATTCTTACATAATTAAAAAGAAACATACGATATTCTAGCTGTCAGGTTCAGAGATTCGTTTGACTAATTTACCAGAAACTACAGCTGTATATATATATATATATTTTTATAAAGCTATATATATATTTATAAACAGATATTCTTTATTGTTCTCTCTAAAAGATGACTCATTATAAACAAAAAAAAAAAATGAAATTAGAAGAAAAAATCGCAGTAAATAAAATCGCTAACAGGGATATATGTAAAAATAAACACACCGTAGTGAGTGTACGGGAAGTATAGGAGAAACTTCTCTTGACTTCTCCGATTCGTTAGCCACATCCAGTAATCTGTAATTTGAAAAAGTTCTATTGTGAAAAAGACCGTTTATGGTAGCGAAACTACGGAACCTTATTACTTTAATTTGAATTGAATAGTGAAGGTGGCAAACAATTATACAGCCCATCTGATGGTAAACGGTCATTGTAGCCTAAAATTTAAATCAGGCAATTATTATGAAATAATGGCAATTTTTACTTTTTCTTATAGGAACTATTGATTTCATTCTTTATACCATTATGATTTAGATCAGTTTTCTACAGAGAATTAAATAGCTGCACAAACAGTAGTTTTATTGCTGAATTTTCAAAATATTGTATTGATTAGTGTCGCATGCATTTAATTAAACGTGCTTCTAAAGTAGTTGACAATTTTACACACACTACCATGCCCTTTCCCGTTTTACTATGTATTCAATCAGGAAAACTATTTTGAACTTATTAAACATACACTTTTAATTCTTCAGTTTTTTTTCTTTCCTCTTCATATTTTTTCTTCCAGTAGCTAGGGTCGTCTTCTTTATCACCTATAAAAATATAATTTTATTACATCATTTATTCCATCATTACATATTTATTTACATGTTATTTCCAAACTTTATAGATTATTTATTTTGATCATACTTATTTTTCTCTTCCACAATATTTTTTTTCTAAAAAAGGTCAGCAAATCCTAATTTCTAGTATAATAAAAATTAATTATGTTTATCAAATGAAAAGTCAATACATACTCTAAAATATTCCAGAAAAATTAAAAATAGTATACATACTATCAGATTCATAGGTTAGGTAATTTTTGATAATATTTCCGTCTTTTACAAGTGGATAGATTCTCTTTCCATGCATAACGAACAAGCCGCCTTCCTCTTGCAAGGATAATATACGGGCTGATTTTGGTTTTCTGTCGGCAACATTTAAATATGTATAATTAATAAATTAAAAAAGGTAAAAATTTAATAAAGTAAAAATAAAAGGAAAATAGAGCGAAACGGAGGTCTACATGCAATATGGGACTCATATCCAAAATACTACCTAACAAATAAACTAACATAGATATTAAAATTTTTAGTACTAACCACAACGTAATTAATACAAATTGAAACTATTGTATAGACTTGAGAAAAGCCTTCTTATTATTACCTACTATTATTATCACCTATATTTAAATGTTTCATAAAGAGGTTTTATTATTACCATAAATTAATTTAAAAAAATTATCTATTTTTAAACAACTTATCTATTTAATATGATTCACATTTATTATTTAGGCGTGATAATTTACTCCCAATTAATACTTTCATTTGATCTTAATGTTAAAAACTGATCAAAAGTATGTAGTAGCAGAATTTATTTTAATTCAATTAAATATCTACTATTCATCTAATTAAAATAATAATATTATATTACGGATTATCAAGAACTAAATTTAAAATAGTTCTGCATGAATAAATTTAACTGTTACTGATTTTTAGAATAGGTATTTATCTTTTAATGATATTAAACTGAAGTTTTAGTATTACAAATAAAAAATGGCCTTCAGATTTGTTCAGTGAGGTTGATATTATTTAAAAGGTTCTGTAGAACAATGAATTAACAGTAAACTTGTAACTAAATTCATTGCCAGGAAAAAACTATTGTAAATAATTTTTGAAAATGTCTTAATCAGCGATACCGATCAGGTATTTATTATAACACTTTTTTTTTATGATAGAGTACAAGTATTTTTTTAATTTTTTTAATTTCATATTATTAAAAATACAAAGCAATTATTACAGATACTTACAAATATTTTCTAGTTTGTCTGTACTTGCGACTACGAGGAGGCGATATGTATTCACTGTCACTCTCTGATGTCCATTCGCTTGATTCTACACTTATATTATTTAGATAACTTCTGAAACAATAAAATATATATTATCTATCTGTATTGTCCTCTTCTGTTATCCTACTATAATAGAGATATAGATAATATTTTCATAATTTATAAAATTACAAATCTAGTTTTATTTAAAAATTTATCATATTGTATATAAATTATAAAGTTGGGAAAATAGCAAGTACAATATATATATATATATATATATATATATATATATATATATATATATATGTTGCGGTCGTACATTAGTATCTACATTGTAGTTGTGCGAATCCAGAGCGGGTCGCTAATAATAAAAGTAATATAATTTTATAACAATAATAATTCTGTCGACTTTATATTATAGTTATATCAAAAAAATAGATTCTGACTTAGGTTTTATTAAGCTAGTCTTTAAATTACTTTTTAAACATTATGAAGGTTAGGATCTTACGGGGCAAAACGATGTGATGTGGATGGCTTTTGACAACTTAGATTCCTCTTGCGTTTTCTAACAATTCCACCTAAAAATATATAACATATTATTATTTAGAAATCACTAATAAAATAGAAAATAATTCACAGAGAAGGTTGAATATTTTATATCCAAACTGTACACCGAATGTGTATTGTCTCAACATATATAAAAACTGTTTTCAATTCTGATAAGAATAATTAAAAATAAAAATAAGGAATAAATATAAAATTTCAACACTTATGTTATTCAGTAATGAACAAGTATCCATAGCAGCCCACAATTGATTCATGTAGTTAAGTTAGAAATAATATTTGTTCATATTCATAGCTCATGCAGATTTAACACAAATGTGAAACACATTTGATAATGACAATGGCGTAGATTAATTAGCGAATTATGCATCAATTAATTAAAAGCATCGTAATCCCCGATTGTAAATATCAGGACAAAGACCACTGACTTACCACTAGAAAATCCAAATATACTAGCTATAGCTTTTTCTCTCTGTATTTTATTAATAAATTGTATGTCTTTTCGTTTGTTTTGGTTTCTTTCTGGTCGTATATCTTTACTTTCGGAGTCAGATTCAGATTGTGAATTTAAAATTACTACCTTGTCAATATTTACAGTGTGTTGATTTTTATTAACATTATTTCCTTTATCTTGGTTATTTTCTCTTGGAGGATCAACGGAGCTTTGTGCATCTTTAGTTTCATTTTTATAGTCTTTTTTAACATTTGTATTTTTCATTTCTTCACCAGATTCGGAGTCAGAATATTTATTTGTGTTAAACTGCTCAGCAAATAGACTTACACTTTTTAGGCAAGGATTTAATTGAGAAGAAGGCATTTCATCACTTCTACTGTCTGGTGATCTCCTTTGGACTGTGTTATTTGTGTCTTCTTTGCTTTTATCTGTTATACATTCATCATTAGACTGTTTCTTGGGTTCTCTTCTATCTTTGCTTGTTAAAGTTGAAGGGTGTTTAAAGTAATTTTGTTTATCTTCTGTACCAGAACCAGCTTCAGATATTGATTTATGTTTATTGTTTTCTTTCGACATTTTTTTTATTTCAGTATTAGTTAAAATATCGTGTGAATTTGCTCTCTTTCTAGATAATTTCAGTTTATTATTACCGATAGTTTTATTTGGCTCTTCATTGACTAAATTTACTTTCTGAAGATTTATACATGCAAATTGTTCTTGATTCCCTGGCAAAGCTGTATCATTCGTGCTACCAGAGCTATTTTGTGTGTTTGTTTTTTCTTTAGTGGTCTCATCATTTTTCTTAATACTTCCTTCTGAAGTTAAATTATTTTCTGCATGATTGTTTTGATCAGCTTCTTTATTTTGGGTACTGTCAACAGCATTTTCTGCATCATTAACAACAACAATAGATGAAGAGACAGTTTCGGATTCTTTATCAATATTAGATTCTACAATATTATTATCAACACAATTATGTTTAGATTTATTTTCCGATTGGTTTTTCGATAATTCTTTCTCATTTTCAGATATTACATTTTCATCTATCTTTAAAACTGGCTCACTGCTTGATTCATCCGATTCATCAGTAGCAAAATCATGTAAGACTTCATGTAAAATTGGAGTCAGTGGTTCTGCATAAGTTATAAAATCCCTTAGTGTTTTATTAAATACATTTTCATCAAGTGACTCTCTCCTTTTATCAGGCCTTGGTGACTCCAACTCCTTCTGTACTTCCTCAGGATCAAGTACAATAGTTTCAGTAGAAGCTCGGTTATGTTGTGGTATTTTGGAAGGTAGAGGTTCCTCACCTGATGCTTTTTCTCCATCATTGTCATTACTTGTACTGGGCTGGGCTTTATTCGAACTTTCAACTGGAAGTAATATAAAATAGATTATGAAGTTCTTATTTTGTTAATTTATAATAGTAAATAGATAGTACAAATATAATGCAATCATGTGATAGGTGATTATCTACTATGTGTATTATGTGAGGTCATTTATACTATAAAATCAAATTGAAGAGTCTGTTTGTTTCAATGTTCTAATTTTTGGGACTATGAGAAATCCTTTCTTGAGAAAAGTTTAAGCTACTCAACATCATGATACAATTACAGGCAAAACAGCAGAATATAGTTGGTCTTTCGAAAATGTGACGTGTATAATTATGATTTTTACCTTTCGATGTTGACACTTCATCAACAGGGCATACTTCAAGCTTGCTTTTTTCTCTTTTTTCAATATCATACCTGAGATTAGAAACGCAGGTGATTATATACATATGTACAACAGGATTTTTATGAATGTACTGTGTTTGCTGTTTCCGGCAATTGTTTCTACTTCATCCAGAAATCTTCTTTAGGGTATGGCATTGCCAGAAAGAGCATTCAAAATTCATAAAATTTGCATTGTGCATGTATATAAACTTATATTAAAAAGTAATATAAGTATTTATAATTTATTAGTTACAATTATTAGTATTATATTAGCTGTTATATATTTTTAATGTCAAATGTTATAATAGTAACAAAAAATAATAATATCCCATAACCTTTAATTGGATTAAAATAGAGATAAATGAAATACTGGTGATAAAATCATTTTATTATTATAAGTAGAAAAATAATATTACATTAATAACTGATTCTGAGGCGTCATTTGAATTTTATATCATACTGAAATCTTTATTTTTTATATAACAAAATTTCAATGGACATTATAATAAAATTAGTTTAAATTAAATTAAAATATTAAGTTAAGAGATAGGTTTATAGAAATGGTGCCTCAGAATCAACCACAATGTCAAGACTATAGGGTCTATAGAGTCTATAGTTAAGAAATAAAAATTACGCATACTAACCCTTGCCTAAAGCTCTGTATTTGTTCCTTGGTTAGTTTATAATATGGATTGTGTATGTCCGGTAGAATTCTCTTCAAAAATGTCTCCTTCAAACTTTGCCATGTCCTAGTTGTTTGCTAACATAACAAGAAGTAAAATAAATGTCAGGTTTATTAATATGCTGCTAAATTTGTTTTCATCTAATTAAGTAGATTAGGTAACTTGGAACTGAGTCTCAAGAATGTCAGTGTATAATAAAAGTAGGATGTAGTAAATATTTCATTTAAAAATATGAAATAGAATATAAATTTTATAGTTGTGTTCCTATAAGAAGGTGTAGCTTTCAAATTTGTTCAAAAACTTTTAAGTTTGGCAACATGAAGCATTTTTTAACATTTCTTTAATTGAGAAAAGGATTGTTAATTATAGGGTCTAACTATTACTAGCAATATACTGTAGCTGGTCGACCTCTATGTGTAGAAACTATTGTGATTAATTCTTATGGAATTCATCATGATGGGCCAACTGACCTGCTTTCAGTTTACCAATCATAACTCACTAGCACCTCACTAGCTTATAACAATAATGCAGGGGTTACCATTCCATATTCACCCATTAAAAAATATCATTCCTAAGCAGCTAACCACTTTATCCTCATTTATATAGATAGGATGCAATTATTAAAAAATAAGTGTTCTAATGCTATGTGGTCCCAGCACAGATTGAGCTTCTCTTTCCATACCCATGGGTGTCGTAAGAAGTGACTAAGGAAACTTAATGTCGGCCATTAATGAATGAATGAATGGGCAACATAACATTAAGTCTACTCACAGTCGCCAATCCTGCCTGCCTAGCATGTGAGTTATTGGGAAAAACTCTCCTGGGGAAGGTTATGTTCAGCAGTAGACAGTTCGCGGCTAATTATTATTATAAGGCATAACAAATGGTCCATTATGTGACTTTCTCATTACATTTATCACAGATATACAAATACCTTTAGACACTTTAATTTTTGCCATATTTAATCAATAATTATAGAATGAATTATTGAAGTAGCTACTTTTAAAAATCAAATTTATAATGGTACATGATAAATGTAACTATTTTGCAGGAACATTAAACAAGAAAAATTCTTACAGAAGTACTTGCAAAGTCCATCCACATTTTTTTTCCTCTAACCTCACCATATGCTCGGTGAGTAACTAAATACTCCACAATGCTCCTCATTTCTTTCATTGTGTAGGATCTCCTATAAGATTAACAGTTTTTGTTTTTAGTAAACAATAATCTAAAAGAGGGAAAGAAACTTGAAACTCATAAAAAATATTTTTTTTAATGTTTATAAACATTAGCTACTCTTTTTATGATTATTTCATTTGAGATTAAATATAATACTTAATTTATATTGAATATTGGCTTTTTGTTACAAGTTTTAGGTTCAGGTAATGAACTAGGCTAACATGTGGGTAGGTATAATCTAGAAACTATAATAAATTCCTTAAACAATAGTGCTTATTTATAAGAATTAAACTTTTCAATTAAAATGTTACGACAAGCAATAATATTTAAAAGCGTAAATAAAAATATTTACAAACATACCCTGACATTTTGGAGGGAGCCGGTAATCGGCAGGTTTTAGTGATGGAAAATTGTGAAATAACAATATGAAGGTTATATTTAACAATCACAACTGCAAATAATAATTTAATACTTATAAAATCGATAACAGAATGATGGAGGTAAAAAATTAATTCGTATTTAATAATTTTACATATTCCTTGAAAGAAATGATAATGTTTAAAAAAACAGTAGTACTTTGAATAAAAAAGTTTACATGATGTCTATGCAACTTTATCTATGCAACATTATTTAAAATAGATAATTTGCAAATATGGTGTCGAAAATAAAACTTTTCTTAAATTTTTAATAATTTTCATAAAGAAATTTTACAAATAAAATTAATTTGTGTTTGGATAAATTACCGTGACTGTTCAAAAACATAAACAAAATTTTGATATAATACAACTTAAAGAACTACTTGTTCTTTTTGGCATAGATAAAAATTATGGTAATAACATTGTTTGATACAATTTTACATTTGAGCCGATTAGTATAAAATTTGACATAATAATGAAATTTTATTGTTAATATCATAACAAGGCCGACATTCAGATTTTTTTTATTATTTATTTATATATATAACATTATAAAGATAAGTATTCCAGTAAGGTAGCAAATAATTATACGGCCCACCTAAAGGTAAGCGGTTACCGTAGCCTATGAACATCTGCAATACCAGAGGTATCGCAGAGAAATAATTCAATCTGCAATACGCGTGCGTTGCCGATCCTGAAGAAACCTCTTTACCCCCCTTTTGAAGAACCCCATGCTGTAGGCTTTTGGGAAAACCTCGGCAGGGAGCTCATTCCATAACTTGAGTGTTCATGGGAGGAAACATCTCTGAAACCGCGCAGTACGTGACTATTGAGGCTGTAGGACATGGGGATAAACTCCCTGTCGATGACGAGCCGTACGATGGTAGAAAATGGCTGTGAGCATCACATTGAACAATTTCTCTGAACACAATCCGTTGTACAAGCGGTAGAACACGCAGAGTGAGGCAAAATATCTCCTAAGACTTAAAGGTTCGATACTGCTTATGAGCTTGGTATCATCGACAATTCTCATAGCTCGTCGTTGCAACGAGTCGAAGGGTTCAAGCTGGTAGGTGCTCCCACCCATAAGTGACAGCAATACAATAGATAAGTATATTTTAAAATTATTTTACATCATTTAATTTCATGACATAATCTATTATTTTCCAGAAGATGACTCTAGATGGTTGCATAAATTTTTTATATTTTTTTTTTACATAAGTACTACTGATGATGATTGGGGATTTGCATACATAGATTATGGCAACACTAGTCTCTTGCCAAAATAAAAAAGTACATTTGTACACCAAATACGTGATCTATGGTATACTGATATAATAAGTACGACTGTACGATTGTGAGACGCTATTTCATTGAAATTAAGCTAATATTTTGATTTAGTAGTTTTGTATAGTTCCAATTTTATGAATATCACAAACTACATATATAATAATTTTGGCTCTGGTCCTATCCTTAATCTATGTAGTTATGTAAACTCAATAGACTAACTATGTGACTGCTATTGCAGTCGAATCAGATGTCATTAATGTTTTGTTTTCTTTTATTTCGCGCCTTTTCTTTATTCATTATTGTTGGGAAGTGCTATAGGAGTTAAAAATTCCAATATTTTAGTTTGGATTGGATATTTTATAATTGTTTTTATCTTGAACTTAGCTATACATATTTCAAATTCATATTATTCAGTATTTAATGGTTATAAGGGTTATATTTCGTTATTTCAGCTATCAAGGAATATTTAATAATGACCAATTCTAACTATTTAAACATATCAGATATATTAGTATCGAACGAAAAAATACCTTGCAAAATTTTACAAGATTTGCCTAAAATGGGTAAGTTCAAAACATGTTCTTTATGATTAATAATGTAACTAGACTATTCATGTAATTAGAAGATTTAATAATGGTAGATATTTATGAAAAAATAATATGAGGCGTCTTAATAATACAAATAAATGCCAATACAATACTTATTAGTCATTTTGCCTTTCTATCCCTTTGTTTGTTTCGACATCACGAAAAAATTACTGATGGTCTAACTTAAAAAATGGTGTGGTCCATCTTGATACACCATCTAAAAGTGGTCTTTTTAATTAATTTTTCTACCTCTGATATCTATACATATGAAGTAGCAGAAAGTTATTTTTTAATAATTATTCCACATAGTTTATATTTATGCAAGGAATTTGTTATGAAGATAGAACTATACTTAATCTTTGCAAAATCCTGTCATATGAGTGATTCTATTTTAGGATTCCTAGATCCTTCAGCAACAGAAGACGATTTGAAGGTTGGATCAAATGTTGAAATTCCATTGTGGTTGGGAGAAACTCTGTACTCTAGAAGACCTCCATTAGTCAGTGTTGACTTACCAAAAATATATAAGGATGCTTATAGGGAAATACTTAATGCTGATGCTTGCACAATTGATTTACACAAATTTGCCCAATACTTTTATGAACTAGGTTGTTATATTGCCAAATATGATATTAAGGGAGAGGTTGCTACAACACTTGTTAATGTAAGTATGGACTTATGTATTGAATTTTAAAAATTAATTATGATTAATAATGAGATGATGATGATAAAAAAATACTTATGTATTGAAAACTAAATAGCACTGAGCTGTTTTGTAACGTAATTATATGAAACTTAAATAAGAAAATAATATAAAAAGGATTGATATATATATAACTAATTTATATAATTATTTTCCAATTGTAATAAATTTTATCAAAATTTATCATAAGCTTGTCTAAATATTTGATTACAGACATTTAAACAAAGATTTAGAATGTTGCTGGCAGCTAGTGTCTCAAATGACTCTATTGGTACAATGCAACCATTATCAGTAAGTGAGCGTGAAAGGGCTGCAGCAGCTGCTGCTACTGAACATGCTTTATCAGCCTGGCTCCAAAGAGGCGATTCCCCCCTCACAACAGCCTGTATGGTAGCAAACCATCGGAAACGTAAAAGAGCAGAAATGGAAATGTTATAAAGTTTATATTAATGTGTAGTAAGCTAGTGTAGTGTTGCATCCAAGAGTTCTACATAATAGTTCTATATACCTATATATTATAGACTTTTAAATATTTAGATTACTGCTAATGTAACATTGTTAAGTTATTGAATGTAACAATTTATTAAATTCAATTTGTAATCAGTTATTAGATTGTTTTATATATATAGAATATCTTGTTGAATCTTTGGTTACCAGAGATCTTTCAAATAATTTGTAAATTCATCTAATCTTCAAAAAATTAGTTATTTATTTTTATTGTTAGGGAGACAAACTAATTGATATTGTTATAAAATGTTGATATTCTTTGTCTATATGTATGGTTATGGCCTAGTAATTATTTAAAATAAAATGCTTTAGTATTGTATTGGACAGTTTGAATATTTTCCTTCATTATACAAAAAACAAGATTACAAAGCAGACAAGTTAAATTATCAATAGTATCAGATATTAATGAACTATTTAATGAAGTTTCTGGTACACAAAACTGATAATTAAAATTAGTCATATTCATTGCACTTACTACAAAACTTATCTTTATTATTATGATAATTCTTACTTAATACTTAATCTTACACATAATAACATAGTATACTTACATGAAAATATACATTGTTTAATTGTTAAGGAAGTTATGAATATTTAACTTTATGAGATCAGTAATGAGCAAATGTCATTAAATATTTACTATTAGTAAACTGAAATTGTTCATATTCAGTATACTTAAGCTTACAATTACTCCTATACTCTGTGCTTTATAGTATTGTACAGATGACAATTTACTAAAATCATAGATAAAAATTATTAATAATACAAATTCAACATTTGTGAGATAGGAATTAACTTCGACTCCAAAAATGCAAAAATTGTTATAATGTCAGCTATCATTTATACCATGCTACAATGCTCAGAGTAAAAAATTAAGACTGACTGATCTAGTTGAATATTTGCAAAATATTAAATTAAGTCATGAATAAGTTAATAATAAATAAATATGACATTGATCACCTTATATCTATTGCACATTACTTATGATTTATATATTAGGTTTAAGTCTCTTCATCACAACACTCTTGCACCTCAATGTTGTTTTTATCACAAAATAATAGTTCTGAGGTACATTTGTATGGGTGTATTGATTGTTAACATCTGTCATTTTTTACTGATGGATTCAAGTCGTGGAAGTAGGCATGTGCCATGGCATCATCAGCTGGCATCCTTAAGGCTGGGTTACAAGTAAGGAGACGTGCAAGAAGATCTCGTCCTCTAGCTGGTAGCCGTGGGACCACTTGTGCCAAGCCAAGACTTGGCTGGTATACAGGCAGTGGTTTGTAGTCTGGCAATTGTGTTACACCTGGCCATGTATCTTCATTGGGTGTACCTATTTAAATTAGTTTATATTAAACTAAGTATACATCTCTACATCTAATTGTATTCTTGATAATAAAAATTGCTACTTAATACCTGTCACATCTGTCACTTAATAAAAATAACATATAACTGAATGTTAAATGTGCTCTTTAAATGTTTTGGAACATAAATGTAGCTAAAGTATTATTATTATTATTAAAATAGAACTTACCAAGTAATTTGAAAATTCTCTTTAATTGGTCATCAACATCAGAACCAGGAAATAAAGGACGGCCTGAGTTTGCCAGTTCAGCAAATATACAACCTGCAGACCACATATCAATACTAGTTGTGTATAGTTTAGCACCAAAGAGAACATCTGGTGGACGGTACCACAGTGTCACTACCTCTGCTGAGTAACATTTCACTGGGATACCGAAAGCTCTTGCCAAGCCAAAATCTGCTAGTTTAAGTTCACCATTCTTATTAATTAACAAATTTTGGGGCTTAAGATCTCGATGTAAAACGTTATGACTATGACAAAATGCGAGACCTCGCAGCAATTGGTACATAAATGACTTTACTACATCTAAATCTATTTCGCCATTCAGACTGTCAAAATATTTCTTCAAATCTTGATCGCAGTGCTCAAAAACTAGAGTTAATTTTTTCTCACTATGAAGCACATCATACAGCCGAACTATGTTCTTGTGCTTAAGTTCTTTCAAGAGGCATATTTCACGTAAAGCGGACGACGGTACGCCTTCATCGTCGTCGTCTAACCTAACACGTTTCAGAGCCACAATTTCATGAGTTTCTTTATTTTTTGCCTTGAAAACAGTTCCGTATGTGCCTTCGCCGATTTTTTCAAGTTTTTCATATTTCTGCATAATTTACTTTATTTTACAGTAACAAATAATGTAATATCGATTGTTTATGTTAGGAAAATTTAAGTATTTTTCTAAGTTATGAATGAATGAAATTGAATGAAGAATAGTAACGGTCACGTTCACGTCTTTACTTTTTTTTCTTTTCATATGTCACGGCACAAATGCATCCACCAAAAACAAAGTTTGGGAAAGTGCATTTTAATAAAGCGACTTTTAGACGACGGAATTTAGGATAAGGATCAGAAAAGTTGAGTAATGGAAAATATAAAGAAAAGGACAGATAGCTGGAAAGAAATAACAATATAATTAACCTTAGAAATATATATACAATATATGTAAGTAAAGTACATAAACTGAGAGAATTTACAACTTAATATTATTGATAAAAAGAAAAGAGGAAATCAAATATATACTTCTAAATTAACAAGAAATAATAATACTAGAATTGAAGTAGGTAAGGAAATACGGAGGTAAAAAGTGCTAACAGTTTGTGCCACAATTGCATATATTATTGTTCACAATTTTTAACTTAGTCAAATGAGAAGGGGAACTCACATGATCAAGTCTCATCCTAATAATGAAGTCGTAGCACGTTTATTAATGTTATTAATATGGTAAAACCATGGTTTACAGGGATTAACAGGCTGAATACTAAAGCAATAGCGGGCCTTAACTTAACAGCTAAGAGACCAAGATTCATTCCAAGTATTTTGGAAGAAAGACCCGCCAAGTCATGACTAAAGATTCTATAAGGAAAGATGTCACTACACTCAATAGCCTCATTAACAAGTCTGTCTGTCATATCCCCTTGAATACCAGAGTGCACGTCATTATTTTTATCATTTTGATTAGACTGTTTTTTTATTTTACTAGGCGCTTTTCCACTGTGGGACCTAAAGTAACAGAGTTGTAAGAATTTTTGATGTTGGAACCCCACTGCCTGTCAAATTTACAGACAAATGTCAAACATTCTATAACCCCCCCCCCCCAAGTCAGTCAAATCCAAAAAGTTGAATTGTCATAATTTCGGATTTATTTTCATTGTTATAAAACCAAATAGTTTTAAAGGTGAGATTTATAATGTATTTTATTTATTATATTTTTTTAACTAATATGCAAATAATTGTCGACATGCTAATAATTGCAAAACAGAAAGCTAATTGAAAGAAAAACATTATTACGTATTAACTACGTTCAAATCAAAATGCGTATCTACCTATCTTTTCAGATGAGTGAGGCTGAGAGGACTTTAGTGGACAAGTCTGAGAGCAGTTCATTTGAGGACTTGGCTTCTGCTGCAGCGCATGAAATAGAAGAAGCAAAATTAGCTGAAGCGGCGGCCGCCGAAAGGGATAGATCAGCTGAGATCAAAACAGACGAGTGGCAAGATGTACTCGGGTCAGGTGCATTGCTCAAAAAGGTCAGTCAGTTGAAAACATTGGGGCCTTATAAGTGAATTGGAAATAAGCTAATCTATTATTTGCCTTTTCCAAGTTTTAATATTAGATATGATTGACTATTGATCTTATTAACAATTATTATCTAGTTTTGCATATTAGAAAGTAGCTCAGTTAGAAACTTGAATTGTAAGATTTATTTGTTTTTCTACTGTAGATAATAAAAGAAGGTAATGAGTCTTCGGGCTCCAGACCGCAGAGAAGTGACATATGCAGAATCAGTTATGAACTTAAAATTCGTGATACTGAACATATTGTTGAGAAAAGGGAGCAAGTTAAAATATACTTGGGTGACAATGAAGTGAGTATATAAATTTAAATATTCAAAATTATTAAATTAAATGTTATATATATACATACTGTACAATTCCCAGAGAGGTTTGCCATTAGGTAGATGGCCGGTTTTAAAGCTAAAAGCCAAATCTTTTTGTAATATGGATAAAAACATATTACGCTGACTTCAAATAATAATTGGGATAAGGGTAGGAAAATAATGATATATACTGTACAATATGATTTATATTCTAAAAGTGCTGTCCATTCTTAATAAACAATAATGGCATGTTTTATTCTTAGAATTTATATATTACTATAGTGGGCAGGTGGTATAGGTTATTTAGTTTTTTTTTTCTTTGCATACCCTCCCAATTTTTTTTTCCATGTAAATATTTACTATATATGAACACTGTTGAGAAACTACTACCTAATTTGAAAAATACATCTGAATAAATTTGTTAAATGTGAGATAGGCTTTAAAACATTTTGTAAAATTTTTGTTCCCTTTCTTATTTTGAAATTTTTTTTTCACTTTACTTATGATATTAATATGTAGTTTTTTTACTAGTATGCACTGGAATTTAAATTATTATACCTATTTACATGTTTAAAAATGATTAGAAAGTAATACAGAACTTTAAAGACAATAAATTCAATATTGTTTATTGACAATACTAAAAAAAAATTATAGTTATTTTTTGTAACGAATAAACCATACATATCTGTATTTCATAATTGGATTGTCAATTTGTAAAATAGTTTTCAATTATTATATAGTATATTATTTTACAACAGTGGAATATGGATATTTTATTATATTTGTTATAACACTATAGGTCACTTTGATACTATATTTTTTTTAATGGATGATAATGCAATTGTAATCCCACATGCAATAAATTCATCTACATTAAACCTAAAAAAAGTATTAAATATATCTACAAAAATTTAAGACATACACAGCATTTCACTACTTTCATTCATAAGGTTTTAAAACATTTTTAAATCAATAACAATTAAATGTGATTGTGTATATAATACAGACACTTATCAACTGGCCTACGTTATCAATCACCTACTTGTTAAATAGTGGACAATTTTATTAATGATCCAAATAATGAGAATGAAACAATGTGAAGTAATAAGTACAGTATAGATTTTGATACTGTGTTTTTATAAGAGTTACATATATTTGATTTTACAAAATTTATTATAATCAAGATGGAACAGAACCAGCTCAATTTCTTTTTCATGTAGTGCCACCATATGGATGACTTAAGATACTTATGGATAATATTTGTCACTTTTAGATCCTGCAAGGACTGGACTTAGCCTTAACACTAATGTACAAAGGTGAAGAATGTCTCCTACAGTTAGCACCTAGATTCGCTTACGGCGATGTTGGTCTGAAACCTGGTGAGAGTCTAGGTTTAGTTGGAGAATTGGAGAGCCCAAAGTATGAAGGACCTTTAATAGATGCGGACACCTGGCTCGAAGCTCGATTGGAACTTCACGATTGGGCGGAAGAACCAGAACATGAAACATTGCCAATAGCGGAAAGAATGGAAATTGGGTATGTAATATATAAAAAATAAACTAACAATATATCCACCTGATATAAAAATTATAATTATCGCCTATAAACATGAACAGGATAGCAAAATATGATGTGAAACCCATGGTACACTTCATGCATTGCCTCTTGAGGTCTGAGATATGCTATTGTATTCTGTAATTTTACTGCTATATCCCACCCTTTATACCGAAACACAGCCATGCATGTTTAGCGGCAGAAACATGAACGGAAAAGAAGCACATAAGCAAACAAATGTCATACAAAATATCTTCTTGTTAAGTATGCCTATTTACATCTGGTAGATATACCCTTATTATTGTATTGTTTTTTATTCAGCTATATAATGTCTATTAATTCGGCAATCTATAGGGTGCAGTGGTAGGCACGTTTCGTTTTGTGGTCACATGGTCAATGACGTCTCGATTTTAATTCTCAGTCCAACCTGTTTAAGAAATAATCTTTTGTAAATTATTCTGGGTTGTCCCTCTATATAAACTTGAGGATCAGATAATTGGCGTGATTGGCATTTAATATTATCTAATATAACTAACAATGCCGCCATTTTGCGTGAACTCAAGGTTGAAATATTTATCTCCTGTTTTAAGACCATGACATATTAAGATTGTTTGCATATTAAATAAATATTTATGTTTATCATAGAAGGTCACTCACCAGTTCACGAAAAGTATTTAGGTATTATTTATTTTATATCTGTCTCTAGTCTAGTAGTAAAGATTAAAAGTGGTGTAACTTAGTAAAGTAATTAATAAAAAAAATATAACATAGTGGCATTCAACATAGCATGCCGCATCCTCATCAATTAGGTTTGTTAACGATATTTAGCATTACTACATGAGTGGTAGACAATTAAACCTTGTTTGTTATTTCTTGCTCAATCATGACAAGGAGTTTGGCTCAATCAATTTTCGGATGGAGAACGATATATATATTTTATCCAAGTCTATCGTAATATCCAGATCACGCGGATGAAGTTACCGCTAATGAATTGTGAATATTAAATCGTGCAAGGCGAGTCTAAAAGTGAATATGTTGTGATGACGTCAGCACGCGAAGGCGCGCGCGCGGCAACTGGTGGTACACGCGCGGCGAGGCGCAGCTGGCCGTGCAGCTGTACCGGCGCGCGCTGGACGCGCTGGACGAGAGCGAGGGCGGCATCACCGAGCCCACCGCCGGCGGCGACCTGCCGCCCGCCTCCGCCGCCCTGCGCGCGCTGCTGGACGAGCGGCTGCGCGTGCACAACAACATGGCCGCCGCGCAGCTGCGCGCCGGCGCCTACGAAGCCGCGCTGCAGGCACGTTCATTATCACAAGCTCCAAATACACTAGCAGAACCGTACACAGGTTTAGTTTTGGAAAATTAAACACTAGATGCGCAGCTAATTCTAATATAATATTACTTTCAAATTAATCTGTACGATAGTACGTGAAAAGAGATACATTTTATCCTTTAACATTACAGGTTTCTTAATATAAAAATTGTTGCCTATGATGGATAATTGTTAAAAATTTATCTATAGACGACCTACGCCAGGTACTCTGAGGCTAGCTCTGTATACCACCAAGATTGTTTTATCATTGTCTTATATATATAGCCATATAAATTCCATAGTGCATCGGTGGTTATTGACTAGCATTTTCATACTACACAAAGAACACATTTCGATAGTATTTTTTTTTTATTTTGTTTTCTCACACCCAGCTCTCACCTATGTGTTACACCTGTTAACCCTAAGCAATATTTTCGAGCCTTTTTCGAGACGTTTTAATAAAAACCGCAGGCGGTGACCCGCGTGCTGATGTGCCAGCCGGACAACGCGAAAGCGCTGTACCGCAAGGCGCGCATCCTGTCGGCGATGGGCCGCACGAGCGAGGCGCTGGCGGCGGCGCGCGCGGCGGCGGCGGCGGCGCCGGCGGACGCGGCGGCGCGCGCCGAGCTGCAGCGCTGCGAGCGGCGCGCCGACCGCGACCGCTCCTCCGAGCGCCGCCTCGCGCGCCGCATGCTCGGCGCCGCCGCGCCGGCCTCGCCAGCCTCGTCCGCCGCGCCAGCCTCGCCAGCCTCGCCCGGCAAGAAGCCGTCCAGAGCCAAGGTGAGCTGGCGTCGCGGGCCCGGGATACGTATGCGGGGATCCGTAGCAACCCTGTGTAACTTAGGGTGATCCATTTCTACACAGTAAGCCAGTGTATCGGGGAGCTGGTCTGATTCCCACATACCTAATGTTCCTCCCAACACTCTATCTAACTCTGTATGTGTTCATAATATATAAAAAAACCCTGTGTAACTGTATGCAGATGAGTAGTGCTAGTATGTATAGCGAACTCTTTTTAAGATATGCAAACAGGGTGTGGTGTGGTGGAAGCGGACAGTCATCTTATGCAAACACTGTTTACTAACTGGTAGTTTCTCAATCGTGTTTCTTGCACACGTTTCTCGCAACATAATACAACTCACTTGTTTTGTATATACAAAAACTACGCTCCGCTAAGTCGTCCCCACTAAACATGTGTTGCGTAGTCCTGAAATAATTAAAATAAATTTAAATGAAATGTTTCTGTTGGTATTTATCCATATATCCCTTGCTACGTACAGCTCTAGTGTACGCAGCCATAAATCCAATTAGCGACCTGCTCATCTTTGCAAAAGTGCAATTTATTACAAAACATTGAATTTATCCACATTAGTATGTATTTATAATAACCTTGGGTTACGTGTTATAGAAGTAATTATGTAACAATGTGTATGATTTGCAATCACTGTTGAATGATAGATAGAGATGGACCATATACTTTATTTGGTTTTATTTTTTATTTATGGATGAAATAGTATATATACATATATATATTTCATCAACATAAAAATAGTCAATATAACTAACAATCTCTTCACTCAACAAGAAGTGGTTTGCGGTTCTGTTATTGTCCTATAACTACAATAACATAAAGTATACTTCTTGGGGCTACTGGGTCAGTCTTGGATGATGCGAAGGCAGTGAAAAACACGTGTTTTTTTTTCTTATACAACTTAGAATGGCAAACAAGCTGACGAACCACCTGATGGAAAGTGGTAACCGTCACCTATAGACATGAGCAGTACCATGGACATAACAGAGTATACTGTTTCGCCCATGATACCCCCCATGCGTTACCATTCCTGAGGACTCAGATGTTATTCCTCTGTACCCAGTAAATTGACGCTATATTCCACCCTTCAAACCGAAACACAGCCATGCAAGCACAACTGCTTCACGGTTGAAACACGAATGGGACAGAGGTACCCAAGCAATCGACTTTTGTACAAAGTCTCCCTCTGGTTTCTTGTTTTTTTAACATCACCTATGTTTAGGTATCAATAGGTGCCAATGGATCGTTATATTAATTAGGTTATTAAATAATCATTAATACACAACTAAATTGTTATGTACTGTCGCATATTTATATCTAAATTCTTCTCTGAATACTGCTCATTAGAAGTTCCTAAATTTTGATTCCCTGCTTTTTACTCTTCAGATGCTAATGTGGGGTTCGTTGTTGCTGAGTCTTCTGGTGGGTGTCGCTAGCGTGCTCGTGTACCGCTACAAGATGCAGGCTCACTGACGGGCGTTGATAGCGCTACTTATACGGCCATAAGTTTGTAAGTATCTACTTGACTTTTATTTCCCAAAATAATAGTAGTTCCCTGATATATCAAGCCAAAAAATCTGATTCTCTCTTTTGAAAGAGTGAAAATATTTGATCCTATCAAGCAAACAAAATTTAATATTTCGCTCTCTAAAACTTTGATAAATATTCAATTCCTAAGTTGCTTGTTTTATAAGGTTTTTCGACACGTTTTCATTTGATAATGTACAATAACATTTTCTTAACTGTAGGTAAATAAAATGAAACAGAATTTACTATATTTGGTGTTATGCTATTATATTCTAGACGTTTTCCTAGCAAAGAACCTAATAAAACTATAGATAATAAATCCCGTGAAATTGGGGTACAAATATAAAAAAAAAAACCATCTAATTGAGAAGCTTCTTTTTATTGAAGTCGTTAGAAAATGTGTCTCAAAATTGTGTGTTTATGTGAAATCAGGTTTTTATTCAAATAGATCAATTTCGGTTATATTTTATTTACCTATAGTCTAATCGTCATTCTGATTGTCCGATATAATTACTTAACGGAAAATATAAATCTATAGCTTTTTTTTTTCAGGAAGTTGAGAGCAAGTGATGTACGTGTGAATAGGAAAGGTACACTTTCCGCTACTTAAACGAATATGATAAATAAAATTCTAATCATAAAGTAAAGGTAGCGTTGATTACTTAACTGAAATATCATAGTGGAAACAATTCATGTCTACTCAAAAGAAATAAATTTCCATTTACAATGACATATTTTTTATAACTTGTGCTATTGATCATTAATTTCTACAAATACGAATTGTTCATTTCCTTTTCAAATGTCGCTCTGTTGACTCTGTCTTACTAAAGCAATAATAAACAGCGAAATTACGTCAAAGCAAATGTTTATATGAAAGTACATCTGGCGATTTACATATTACTGACTAATGGATATCAAGTAACTTGTCACTTCAATTTGTGCTTTATGTTATGTGTACTATGATACATTTTACTCCGTTACTAGTAGCGAGTACTTACTCAAATTTATCTTTGTATTGTAAAATGTATTGTAGTACATACATGTTAAAGTTTCAAATTAATAAGTTCTCTGCTGCTGTTGTAGCGGTGCTGTTACGGTTCTAGTACATAGGTTCCCAACCCAACTAAGCTGTACCGCCCCCATCCGCAGTGGATGCTGATGCCTTCCATATCTTAGATAAATTACTATATGTCCAATATATATAACTTCAAAAAGGATCCACTCCTTGACTTCGATTAAAGGACAAGTTAAGGCACATTATTTTAGTTACTCTATTCCATTATTCTGTAATTTTTTTGATCGGATTCGTCATATTTTCTATGACGCATGCTATGTATGTATTTATATGTGTATATTTATGTATTATATATATATTGCCCTTACGATAAGAGCGCCTTTTGTACCTTTATGTATATATTTAAATTCGTATTTATGTTACTGTATTTCACTTGAATTATTCTATTGTCATTGTATAAATTTATGTTTCTGGTGGAATAAAGAGTTAAATAATAATAATAATAGTCCAGAAATAAATGAAGGTGTTACTTTTTTAATGTATATTTTTTGCCATTTTTTTTTTCTATTTTATGATATTCCAGATATTGTTGGGAATCTATGCTTCAATATATTTGATACGTTATTTTTTATTTTGCCAGTCAGTACAAGTTTGCACACTTATACTGGACAATACTTGTATCTATTTAATTGTAAAAATGGTGATAGGCTAGGTTATAGGAGTTAAATATAATTGTGATCCTTTATTTCTTGTTGTGGCTTATATCATACACCGCGGCAAGTCGCATTTATATAAATTATATGTATATATTATTATTTTTTTTCTGTAACTCTGTAGGCCCTGTTTAGTTAGTGCCAAAAATTGGAGTGTACACTCTAGATATATGTAGTTGTATTTTTTCAAAAATAGTATTTTGTCACGTATTATAAACTATATTTTTATTGTCAAACGAGACAGTGTGAGAATATATATTTTTCGATACTATATTAAACTTAATAGCAGCTAAAACATGTAAACGCATTCCATGGAAATAACTTTCGTTCTTTTTGTCGAAAGCATTTTTGTAATAAAATTTAAGAGGAAAAAAAATTTTAGGTATAATTTGTAGTCTGTTGTTTTTGGTGCTTATACGTAGGTTTTATAATATTTTCGAGTCTTGATTTTAGGGTATTTACAATGATTAGTGCGACAGGGAAAATTATTGATAGCTATTATAAATATTCATGAAAAGATTTTATTTTGAATACTTTATATTATGCAACAATATATAAGCTGTAGGCATTTGTATGTAAAATTTACTTTTAAACTCACGTGTATAATATGTAAACATTCTTGTACTTTGTCGCACTAAAAATGTTTAGTAAATGGTGGTAGAGTTTCTCACAGTAACTAGTTTTGTGACCTTTGCTTGGTTAGGTATCACCATTTAGCATGTTCCTATCGTGAAGAGTCGTTTTAGTGTAAAGATGTTCCCTCTTAGACAAACGGGAAACAAATCTATTAGTAGATAAGTTTTACGCATAAGAAAAAAAACGTTTCTGTCGAGATCTATCTAATGCACATGGCATCGAAAACTTTACTGCTGATAGATTCTTTTGCCGTAGAAGGGCGGATCAATAACAAAAAAGTATAGGTGGATTATTATACATGATATCACAACATTTATACCGAAACTATGGTCATTGCTTGTCAAAATAGATTTTTTTTAACGTAAAATTATAGTAAATAAGTTTTGATATTCATCTCAAATTATTATTATTTATTATTAAAAAAATATTCATCAAAATGTCGTTATTATTTTATTTTATTTTTTAATAAGAATAAATGAGCATGCGGTTCACTTGATGGTGACTACTGCTGCCCAAGAATAAATTCTTTGGTATTGTAATATCTAAAATTATTTGAGTAAAATATACTGACTCCGAATATTGGAGTAAATTAGGATTGCATGCGATTCTATATGACTGTACTCCACTTATTAAAGTAAATAATTTGGCGACAGTGACTGTAAATTATTATTTGATAGTGATCTACATATACTTTTTTTGTTAGTTTGAAATCTAAAGTATTAGGAAAATAATCAGTGTGACCTCTAGAACCAGGAGTTTGTGAAACACTTTGGAGTAAAATAAATTAATACAAAATTGCATATATTTTTATATAAATCGGTTTATTTAGACAATCACGTTTATACAGAGCTGTTGCTTACTACTACGCATAGACAAGTTCATGTAATTACATTAGAATAAGGTTGCAAAGTTGAAATTAGTGGAACCCCTCGTTTCCTCCGAAATATGTGAAGGAAAAATCGTCAAAGGAAAAATACAATATCAATATATGTGTTTTTGCTATGTATTTTGGTGGAGATGATTGTCGGAACAATATATCACATGTAAAAACTTAGTATGAACGATCTACATCTTTAGTAAACGTGTATGTTTAGCGCATTTCTAATAAAAATGTTACTAAAGTAATTAGTAACAAAGTACTAAAATGCTTACATATTAACTTCACGTGACTGCGCCCCAACAAATGGATAATTAGTTTTATGAAGTAGCAAGACCTATATCTATTCGGACATGTTAAATATTAGATTGAAAAATTTAAACCTAGATTCGAATCTGAATAGCAAAGCAAATTTGTAATTAAGCCATGAAAGTAGTTTTTTGCCCACAGACAGTGCTTAAATTTTTCAATATAATATTCATTGATTGTACTTCTCACATAACAATGTGAAGTTTGCCCTGTATCTATTTTTGTAGTGATAAATGTATAGAAAATTCCACAACTAATGTTAGATTTTATTAAAAATAAGACTTTTGGTTTGGTGTAGAATCTTAATAATGTAAAGGAGATAAATGGATAAAGATATGAAAATTAAAAACATGGTGGTCCCAAATAAAGTTGCTAATAAAGAAATTGTTGCAGATATTTATTGTTTTATTATTTATTTTTTTATAGTTTTTTTTTTTAATTTCAATTACAAATTAAAAAATAAAATTAATATCATATTAATATACAATAAATTATTCAAAATGTGGCAATTCTTATGCCAATAAATAAATAATAATAATCGGTTTCTCTAAAGAGAGATCAATAACTAAACAGATGTTCTTAGGTATAAGCGTTACAATTGAATAAACTACTCCACACAAACCCGAAAATATTACCCTCTTTTTGGCAGTCGGGTAACTATAATATCACAATCGTGCACACGTGCAGGTGTTCAAGTGATGGCACTGACACACGGTGAATTTTCTTAAACTAATAAAAATCAGTAGGTAGTACACATTATTTTTAAAGAATGAAGAATAACAATCAACGTAGACATGTTATTATAAATGTATTAAAGACTAGCGATCCGCTCCAGCTCCACACGGGTATACAACATAGACACGATGCATCTTTTTATTATAGGCGAAACAATGTTTTAAAATTCATTCAATATTTTTTAAATTTATCTATTACAAATAAACATACAAATATTCAAATCTTTCCTCTTTATAATATTACCTTCTTATTCATAAAAGTGGCAACTTCCTACAAACCTATTTTAATTTATTAGAGTGTTTTGTTACAGTCTTGCAAATTGGGAATCGAGCGTAAAAGAAAAAGACAAAACACTTCAATCGATAACTAAATAAGACTTACGAGACGGTTGGAGTTTTTATGAATAAGGTTCATATAGACGAGTGTAGGTGTATTTTGAAAGCTCCAGATTCAATTCTCGGTGTCTTTTAGATAACAATTTTTTTCAAAAATGCCTCAAGTCTGATTATAATCACTCAAAACAGATGGATGCATTGAATTATTATGTTACTATAGTATTTATTTCTTTATAAAACATTAATATAGCTTAATACTGATAAAAACTATACAAAATAAAGTACTAATATCACAGTTTTGACTTATAAGTAAGCGTTTTGGCGAGCCAACTCGTGAAGTGCGTTAGACCAACAATTTGTGCTATAGAAGTTAACGCTTGCGTGGTGAATACAGTCGCCACAAAGTCATACAGTAGTTTAGGAGAGAATACTGTCCATACATAGAGATGATGTCTGAAGAAAATCGTCACTATACAGTACAAAGATACAGCGTACACACGATGGAGGGCGAGTACATTAGTGGTTTGCCATAAAGCTTGTAAGTACCTGAAATAGAACATTTTTGTAGACATGTATTAAGTATAAAGAAGTAACTTCACTTATGTCAGAGTGAGACATTGGGGTTTATTCTAAGGCGCAATTTCTCTAAATATATATTTAATGCATGAATCAATATGAACTGATATATAGATATAATAGATTTAAATCAAAATTATAAATTTAGTTTATGATTGTCCTAAAGCAGTAATATTGCGAAACAAAACTATATATTTTGATAGTTTCGCAGATAAAAAACACAGTAAGAGAAATAGCGCTTCACAATTGACTCCATTGAATAAATCTATCTATATATCAACAGTATTTTTTTTTTTTTTTTTTTTTTTTTTTTTTTTTTTTTTTTTTTTTTTTTTTTTAGAACTTAGAATGGCAAACAAGCTGACGGCCCACCTGATGGAAAGTGGTAACCGTCGCCTATAGGCATGAGCAGTACCATGGACATAACAGAGTATACTGTTTCGCCCATGATACCCCCATGCGTTGCCATTCCTGAGGACTCAGGTGTTATTCCTCTGTACCCAGTAAATTCACGCCATATCCCACCCTTCAAACCGAAACACAGCCATGCAAACACAACTGCTTCACGGTTGAAACACGAATGGGACAGAGGTACCCAAGCAATCGACAGTCACGTTTCTGGTATATTCTGATACTTAAGAAACCTTAATACGCCAGTTTTGAAAATTCCCATGCTGTAGTCTCTAGGGAAAACCATACACTGTATACATATTTTATACTAGGCTCTACTAATATCTTCCATGATGACAACGATAGACATAGATGGAGGATTACCTTTCTCTAATAATGATTTTTTTTAAAGAAAGGTGATTCTATTGAGGAGTCACGATCCTCAATAATTGAGGATGAGAATGGGTAATCAATATTTAGGACGAGAATGAGTAATCGCGACATGTGCAAGCGGCGTGTACGCACCGGTGCCAGGAGGGCGCGGCGGCGAGGCGCGCGAAGAGCGCGGCGCCCGCGACAGCCGGCCCGCCGTATGCGTGCAGCCCCATGCGCAGCGCCACGCGCCACGCGCTGTACTCGCGCAGCCCCACGTAGCCCGCGCCCAGGTCCACCGACGCCAGGCTGTTGCTGTTACCCTGCCGACACCCACAACACATTGCGATTATTATTAATGGTATCTAACAATCCCATAGATAGTACACTACAAGGTCAAGAGATGGGCCAAAAGAGTTGCTTCCATACCCGCTTATCATCTCTCACTGATATACCAATAACGCAGACGGGGTTCTCAGGTTGGTGTATATATTATATATTAGTATATACTATGTGTTAAGTTAGGATATAACCTACATGTGTATCAAATTTCATTAAAATCGTTTCAGTGGTGTTTGCGTGAAAGAATAACAAACATTCATTGATCGTTATGAACTTTGGCATTTAGTATATTAATAGGATATAATTCAATTACAGAAAACATTTATTTTGGAGTTACTTGTTTAAAAAACCTGAAATTATTATGTTCATAAAGTAACTTGTTTTAACTAACTTTCTAAAGTAGAAATACAAATAAAAAGGACATCTTACCTGATAAAAGAAAAACACCTGACCGATCCATAGGTGTACTAGAACCTGACTCAAGGTATCGACTATTTCAGTATCCCTCCCCGGCCTCGTATCCAGTAGTTTGTGATTCACGCACTTCGACGTCAGCATGCACGTTATGTAGACACTGGGCACCATTATAACGTTGTGAGGTCGCATCAGTAGAATGACAATGAGCATTAAATAATTCAGCATAAGGTGCGAAATCGAACACGCCAAACTTAGTTTAACTTCTTCGAGGTTCCACGGCTCTTCCGCGAGAGGATCATAGAAGTAATCTTCTGTTTTCGCTTTCGGTTTGTTGTATACAAACTTTTTGTTACTCTGTGTTTTTAATGAATTCACCCCGCAGCTCCTGAATATTCCAACGTATGTGAGTATCTCGAAGACGAATTGCGCTATAAGGAGTCCCCAGAACAAGTTGACTATATTCACAGGGTCCCAAGATTGTATGTAATCGAAGGGTGAGTCTAACGCTTTGGTACTTATACGATAACATAGTATGCAGCCCGTGGCTAGTACTGTGAATGCGGTATGCATATGCATAACGTTGTTCATGCAACGTACATTCCATAGGCATATTATTAACGTCAGAAGTGTTCCTGAAAATAAAAATATATTACGATGATAATATTAAAACGAAATTGTAAAGCGTTATAGGACTTGGACAGTTTATTAGAGTATTTATAATTAAAGATTCAATATAAGTATATATTTGCCGTATGGTCCCAATATTGCTGCGTGGTCTCAGCACAGAATAGACCAACTATTTCTGTCCTGTGGGTGTCGTAAGAGGCGAATAAGGAAGGGCAAGGAATGGACAGCAGTGTTCCTTTCAAAACATCTCTAAAGTCTGACGGTTACGAACCCGCTTGCCACGCGAGGCAACTATTGCCAACTCCCTTCCCTCTCAGGGGAGGCTTAGCAGCAGTGGACAGTTAAAGGCTGATATGATGATGATAGGACTTGGACAGTTCATTAGAGTATTTATAATTAATGAATGCGCCCCACAAAAACCGGCTACAATTGTGACGGAACTAGTTTTTTGATATAAAATCTAAACTACTGAACCGATTTTGATAGAATTTCTTTAGGACCAATCTGTAAGCATATCCTTTCAGATAAAAAAGGAATTTTCCAAATCGATTTACATTTGTCTGTATTATAAGGTAACAAACAAAAAAAAAAAAACAACCGAATTAAGAATCTCCTTTTTGAAGTCGGTTGAAAATAAGCTGCTTTTGTGCATTTATAAAAGATTTTAAGTAAATTTTAATATCCATTCAGATAAAAAAAATTTTCGTAATCGGTTTAGAACTCACGGAGTTATGGGTAACGAGTAACAAATATAAAAAAAAATACAACCAAATTGACTCTCCTTTTTTTTTAAATTGGTTGAAAAGAACATGCAAACAAGTCTTTTTGAATAATGATGACTGTTATTGTATTATATAAACAATAAACTATTGTAAATTAATTTGTTGGATTTATAAATAATTTTAACAGCAAAAATATTAGGCGCTTTTGCACTCTGTCACTAATTATAAAACTGAGAGAGACAAAAACATACAAATTAAACATACCTACGACCAAATGGGCTTGTAAAAACACAGCATTTTCCGGAGCGTTCAACCAATCTGCTGTGTCGGGTAAGAATAACCACCGGTCTCCAGTTTGATTCATTGTTTTGAGATACCTGAGGATATTGTGTTTTACATTTATTTGGAATTCTTTTCAAATGGGATTTAAGTTCAGAGATTTGTTTGAAACTGTTTTGCGAATAAAAATAAATAGTAGATAAAAAACACATTTCATAACTTCATAAAATGTATTAAGTTCTGTCTCCCTTATTCATATAAAAAACTTTTACAAACCTAGCACACTGTTTTTTTTTTATGGGTGAAAATGGTATGGTAACCCCGCCTGCGTTAACGGGATACGCTGGCGGAGCACCAGTGAAGGGTGATAGATGAGAATGAAAACAGATCAATGAGAATGAGAATGAATTCATCAGGAATTAACCAGGGAGAACCGCGAGGAGGTCGATCTGGTTGGGTATATTGCTAGCAATGGGATCCTCAATCTCTATTACTAACAATCCCTTTCCCCCATCACACTGTTTTGTCACTTTCTTCCAAATTTAGAATTTAGTATAAAAGTAAGAGACAAAACAGTTCTATAACTAAAATAGGTTAAGAAAAGGTTTAAATGTAGGCATACGCCTATAAGGTTGATAATAGAGGATCACATGATATATATATGTATCTATTAGTAACTAAATAAACGATTGATTGATTGAAGTATTTATGAATAAGGGGGATAAAACTTAAAATAGACTATAATAATATAATTAATAAATTATCGTAACCGGTTTATAAATTACAGAATTATGGGGTAACTAATATAAAAAAAATACCACTGAATTTACCATCATTCTTATTTTGAAGTCGATTGAAATTGCAATTTAACAACAACAACAGGGTCTTCTCTTGCCCGCCAAATGATGTGTGGGCGGGCGAGGTAGAGGCCTCGGGGCGTACCCCATTACCCTGGCTTCTATTCCGGAGACGATGACCTCCGAGTCGCTGGATTTGCAGCCGGCATACACTGTTGGTCTGTGTATGCCGGCGTGGTTGTAATTTAAGTACGTGGACAATCTATTCTATTTATTTTAGACTAGATGGCGTTACTACATACTTTGTCCCATGGTATGTATTATTATAATTATCAGACACAAGAGTCTTACCTATGTAAAGCGATGAGCAAGACCCATTTTGGCAATAGACCAATATTAATGTCCATTCTCTTGTGTAATTCCGGTTTCTCCTGCACCTCGGTCGCTCCAACAAACATTTTACCCAAATACATTAATACAACCACCACAGTCCTTAGCAATATGAATAACATGAGGGTATTCCAGAAGAAATACCATGTCATGTGTTCCTCTTCTATGAAACTGGTACCGAAGAATGACCACGAATGGAAGACTGTACCAAATATTAACAAATAATCTATAAGATTCAAATCCTTCAGGATCGTTAGGTCTCTTGTGTTCTCTATTGCAGTTTTAGTTATGAAATAAACCATAGTTATTACACACGCGGTTAGTCCAAAGACTAAAATCCAGGCGGAGTTGAAAGAACAAAATTGACTTTTGGTTTCTGTGATGAAGCAAGATATTACGAGGGTGGTGGAACAGATGAATAGTACTATAATGAAGGCGAGGAAGGACCCAGCAGTAGACCTGTGATGGTGACCTGTACTTGTTTTACGGCTGTGCTCTGGTTGGAGGGAATATAATGTCACGCAAAGCAAGGTGACTGCGATCTGTAATGTAAAAAAAGACAAAAATATTGAAATATTAAATTGTTATTATTGAGTCGTTAACAGTCTTCTGCAAAGTATAGACCTTTCTCATAAGGAGAGTTTTGCCACTGGTTGCTACGATTGGGAACCGCAAATAGACGTTTTATGAGGGACGTTACTGCTGCTCACCCATTAAGTTACCTTAATCGCCTCTTACAAGGTCAGCCACGAGAAAAGAAATATGAATTTAATTACAATATATATATATATATATATATATATATATATATATATATATATAATATAATATGCGAGTAATCCTGTAATATTAAAGCCTTTGCTAATTCTAATTGAATTTTGAAATAAATTATTTTGTCAATAAATAAGGTAAACAAGGTAAATACATTTATGAATATTATTTCGATTTATTCATACCAAATTTTTTAATTATATTAACTTGACCTAAGGAAAAAAGCATCTCAAGAAACAAATTATAGCAACTTTAATTTCTCTATTTCTAGTAATGTAAGGACAGAGCAAGGGTATACTCACAAAGTACAGAAGGAAGACAGCAATGCCAATTGCAAACATATCCAAGTCGACCGTTTGCTCCGAGAGATATCTGGACATTGCTTCTAGAGATTCCTCATAAAAATCCTTTGCTATTTTGGCGGCGCTCTTCTGTCCTGTCGCTAGGTAATGAGCGAATTGTGTTTGGGCACGTTGGAATTGCTTGTAGAATTCTGTGAGAGTGTTTATTTTTTTATGCAGCTTAGGCATAGGCATATTAGTATAAGGCCCACCTGATTAAAAGTCAATCATAAAATGCAGAGTGACGCTTATCGGTTGCCCTTCTTAAGAAGTAAGGTGTTATATCTCTGTATCCAATAATATATCTCATTCCTTGAAACCACTAACACAAGCACAATTGCTCGATGGCAAAAACACGAGTGAGGCAGAGGTACCCATACAGATCATCGTACAAATTTAAAAGGTTTAGTTTAGATAGAACCAAATAGTAGTGCAATAAACTTTGAAATCATTTTAAGATTCGCAAAAAATAAAAATAAAATTATAAGAAGTTATTTGTGGCAGTGGCGGACTAAGCCCGTCAGGCCCCGTGGTGGCAAAGTTGAATGAAGCCCCCAGTTTAAGAAGGTGATTTAATTTTGTAGGTTTTTTATTAAGTTCACATTTGTACTTGCAAAATAAACAATCTTGCAAGTGAAACTTTATATATATATATATATATATATATATATATATATATATATATATATATATATATATATATATGACTTTGGATATATTGAAATATTATGAATATCGATGAGAAAAATGGAGGCATTTGGAATTCTCCCAGGACCAGAGGCCCGGGACAGACCGCTCATTCCCAACCCCTCGTTAGTTTGCCACTGCTTTGTAGTGAGTTGGTAGATTTACCTGCGTTTGTGGGCACACCCTGGCGGGCGTTGTGTGCCGCTAGTACGTGCAGCAGGTAAAGGTGTTGGCGAGAATCCGAAGGCAGTAGCGCGGGTAACATGCGGCCCACGCTCTCGCCTGGTATGGGCGCGTTCAGCAGCCACGCCACAGATGGCGCCACGTCCACCTGCGCCACTGTCGGGCCCGGACCTTTTCTGCACCGTGCAAGTTATCATCGATATGTAAGTTCTAATATATTGTGGACTAGCTTTTTGCTCGCTATTTCGTACGCGAGTTTCGGAAGCAGGAAAACCAATGACGTACAATTCTAGATAGCGTATTGAGATAAAACGTACATCAGATTTTAAGTTAGACTTTCAGGAACATGACTGTGAATACTACATACAATTTGGTATAGTTACAAATATATAGACACAAAATTTCTAAGAATTTTTGTTTTAACATCTATTGTTCTTATTAAGACCTTCTCATATATTTTTTTAATATCACCCATGTACAGACATTGTCTATTTACAATTTTATTATATGTTTTATTTGTTTTGCGTATTGTTATATTTTTATATATTATCAATATGTACAATAAAGTATAAATAAATAAATAAAAATATTTGTAAGATACAAATGACAATTTTAAATTAAAGAACTTTCGAGTTATGAAAATTATCGCAAAAATTTAACTGGACGAACTATATGAAAAACATCTAGAAGGATCCTACTGGCATATTTGTTCATTATTTTCTAGCGCAGTAATGGTTTAAATAATTGTTTTGAAATTTGATATGGCATTATTATTATTATCACCAGAGGGAGGCTTTGTAAAAATGTTGATTGCTTGGGTACCTCTGTCCCATTCGTGTTTCAACCGTGAAGCAGTTGTGTTTGCATGGCTGTGTTTCGGTTTGAAGGCGTATGGCGTGAATTTACTGGGTACAGAGGAATAACACCTGAGTCCTCAGGAATGGCAACGCAATGGGGGGTATAATGGGCGAAACAGTATACTCTGTTATGTCCATGCTACTGCTCATGTCTATAGGCGACGGTTACCACTTTCCATCAGGTGGACCGTCAGCTTGTTTGCCATTCTAAGTTGTATAAAAAAAAATACATTTGGTATTTATGATACAGAAGGATATCAAGTTGTTGTAAATATGCTATTAAGATAGACTTAATATCATAGGATGATAACTTAATAACAACCGACTTGTGGGTACAATTGGTGACCTTAATGCAGTAAGGCGTTCTCTAATTAACGATTAGGTAAAAACGGAAAGCGATTAACGGTCAGTGGCGTGGAAAAGCTATTAATTATAGTAACTATTTAAATTACATGCTATGTAATTATTGAACTTGTATGTTGTTTACATCGTAACATTGAATTTGAATAATTAATGTACAGATACATGTCTTTTATTGTTCTTTCTAAAAGGTTACAATAGTAAACATTTCAAAAATAAAAAAAAAATACAGGATCAATATATCTACTTGTCTCGTTTTTGTGTGTAAAATAATTGTATATAGTAATATAATTGTATATATATATGAACACTAATACAATATGTATATTATTATTTTATATTTTATTTATTTAAACTTGAATGCACAGTGAAACTATGTAAATATGGCCAACTTAACACCGGACGGTGTTCTTTGCCAGTGAACCATTGAGCAAACCGAGAAATAAGAAGGCGGCATATTATTGAATTGAAAGAATATAAAAAAAATGTACTAATATTATTATGTATATAATATTATTATGTATATAATATTATATAAATGTATGTTATGTATTTTATATATTTATTTATGTAACATATATTATTATAAGTACTTAGATGTAAGGTGTGCATATGATTATTTGCATATGTTTTATTAACATTGGTGTTTTTCTTTTTTTATTAGTTACACTTTTAGCGCCAAATAGCTACCGTATTTTTCTTTCTCCTCTACACAAAAGTTGTCTGCAAGAGATTGCTTTAGCGATAAGACTATTTATATTTCAAATGTGAAATATACGTTTGTCTTTGTATTATTCT